CATTTTAATGTTATCAAAAAGCTGCTAACTGGGAGAGGGCAGTCACTTCCTGATTCTGAGGCCAATGGCCCCAGCAGACAGATGGATGGGCAGACAGACTCCCAGGAGTGAGACTTGGGAAGGCAAGCGGGTTCCACTTGGTTCCACAAGACCTGGAGAATCTCGCTGAAAGTGCCTCCTAAGTGGATCTCGCCTGTGTTTACATCCAGGCATTCCTCGCAGCTCTTCCCAGGTTTGAAGTGGATTGAATGCAAGTGGAGGGAGGGGAGTGTCTGAATCAGAAATGACGGAAAGTGCTCTGGTGAGAAGGCTTCTGAAGGCCAAGGGTCCCAGGGCCTGAGAGGCGAGCCCCGCCCTGCAGACAGCCCAGCCAGGCTGGACTCCTGAGCTCAGGGAATCGTGAGCTAATAAATGATGACAACTAAGTTTGTGAAATTTCACAGCAATAGAAAGTGAAAACAAATACCTAAAAACATTCGTATAAGATAATAAGGGTTACAGTTAATAAATTATTTCAAAGTGAGCATCATGGAACCACTACTCAGGTCAAGATGAAGATTATTAGAATCCCAGAAATCTACTTCAGGCCTCCTCACAACCACCATCCCCTCTTCCCCAAAGCCAGCTACTTTTCTGATTTCTAATCCCATAGGTTTATTTTTCTGTGGATTTGAAACTGTATATATTTTTTGCTCAAATTTATGTCGGTGAGAGTCATCTATGATGTTTGTGGAAGTTTGCTCGTATTCATTGCTGTAGAGTATTCCCCTGCAGTGGACCGATACAAAGGTTCATCACCACTTATTTATTTTAATTTACTTTTAATTATAGTTGATACACAATATTATATTAGCTTTAGGGGTACAACATAGTGATCCAACATTTATATACTTAATGAAGTTATCACAGTAAGTTTAGTAGCCATCCGTCCCCTTACATAGTTATGGTATTATTGACTCCATGCTCTATTCAGCACCATTTATTTAAAAAAAAAATCATTCTTATATTACTGCTCTATGACACCATTTTCATTGGGAATCAATTGATTGTGTGTTTGTGAGCTTGTGTTCTTATGCCTTATTCTGTTTGGTTGGTCTACTTCTGCCAATACCCCTCTGTCTTAATTACTGTTAGGGTCGCTGAAGGGGGAACGCATGAGGCCAAAAGGGGTAAAGAATTATAAGTTTACTAGAGGCCCAATGCACGAAATTCATGCAAGAGCAGGCCTTCCTTCCCCGGCTGCTGGGACCGCTTCCCTCTGGCACCCAGGATCCGGGCTTCCCTCACAGTCCTGGCTTCATTCGGAAGGTCCTCTGATCTAATTAGCATATTACGCTTTTATTATTATAGATTGTTACATCTGCTAGCAGAAGGCCTGAGACCAAAATGGCATCAGCAGGGCAGAGTAGAGGGAGCTGGATATTTATGTCTCTTGTTAGGGTCAGGCAGAGCAACTGGTCAGACCAAGTGCAGGTGGGGGCCAGATGTTGGTGGTCACTGGACACTGGCTGAGGTAGTTTACTGGGAGCCAAAGGTTGTTCATCATGAGACCTATAAGGAGAATAATAGGACAATTGCCGGGAGGGGCAAGAGCCCTAAGAGCATAAAGGAGCACAAGAATGTACCTAATAATTACTGTAAGTTTATAATAGTCCTTGATATTTGGCATAGCAAGTGCTCGACCCTTGACCTTCATATTCAAGATTATCTTGCCTATACTTGATCTTTTACATTTCCATGTAGTTTTTAAATAAATTTCTAAATTTCCCCAAAATTCTGTTGGGATGTAGATGAAACTACATTGACTCTTCGAAGAGGAGTTGGCATGAACATTTGTATCACATTGAGCCTGGCAGTCCACGAAGATTTCTTCAGGTGTTTAGTTTCAATAATTTTTATCGCTTTCTATATAGAGGTTTATACAGTTTAGTTAGATTATTCCTAAATATTTGTTTAGTTTTAATGTTAAAGAAAATGGTATCTTTTACTTCCATTTGTGTGGTTGCAGATATTTATATTGACCTTGTATCTAACTGACCTTATGAAACTGACTTGTTCCATTAGTTTGCTTGGGCTGCCACAGCAAACGCCACAGGCCCAGTGGCTCAACAGCAGACGGAGTGGTCTGCAGGTGGTTTCTTCCGAGGCCTCTCTCCTTGGCTTGCAGTTGGCCACCTACTTGCAGTGTCCTGAGCTTTCCTCCGCGCGCAGGTCTCTGTCCTAGGCTCTTATAAGAATACCAGTCACATTGGACTCGGGTCCACCCAGATGACCTCATTTTGTCTTAATTACCACTTTAAAGGTCCTATCTGCAACAGTTATTTCTGAGGTACTAGAGGTTAAGACTTCAACATATAAATTTTGGAGTGATCCAATGTAGCCTATAAAATGTACCAAATCCCATAGTTTATCTGAGGATTTCTCTGGATTATCAACATAAAGAATCATATTACTGGTTGGCTGGTGTGGCTCAGTTGGTTGATCATCCTCCCTTGAACCAGGATGTCACCGGTTCAATTCCTTGTCAGGGCATATACCTGGGTTGTGGGCTCCATCCCCAGTAGGGAGTGTGAAGAAGGCAGCCAATCCATGTTTCTATTTCTCTCTCCTTCTTCCTTCCTCTCTGAAATCAATTTTTAAAAAGATTAAGAAAGAAAAGAATGAGCAGGAAAAGAAGAATCATATTACCAGTGAATAATTATATTTGTTTTATATGTAATATTCTATATTATATATATTCTATTTATTATCTGCTTATTTATTAAGTGAAATGAAATTCACAGAGCATAAAATCAACCACTGTAGAGTGAAAAATTCAGTAGCATTTGGTATATTCACAATGTTGTGCAACTACTACCTCTAACTAATTCCAAAACATTTAAATCAGCCCCAAATAAGACCTCATGCATAGTAAGCAGTTGCTCCTTGGTGGTTGGGTGGAGGGTTTCCAGATAAAATTCTGGACACCTAATTATCATTAAATTTCAGATAAGCAACAAATTTTTTTGGTATAAGTATGACATGCACTATTTGAGACATATAAAAATTATTTGTTGTTTATCTGAAATTGAAATGTGCCTGAAAGCATTTTTATTTATTTATTTATTTATTTTTTTATTGCTTACAGTATTACAAAGGGGAAAGCATTTTTATTTACTAAATTTTTTTTGCATGCTATTTGGGTGCATGTTAGAATCGAGGGAGCCTGGGCCATACAATGGCCCACTTCTCCCATATTAGCATCATCAAAGCATCCCACTGCATTTAGAATTTTGAATGCATTTATGGGGAAAATATTTTTTCCACTTAAATATGATTAAGTTTTAAAACATTTAGCTCTCATAAATCGAAATAGTATTTAAGCAATATCTGAACTGAAACTACTTTTTCCATTTATATTCTTTGGTTCATAATACTACAAAAAACAAAACAAACAAACAAAAACAAAACAAAGCAAAAACCAAACCAAACAATATTTACTAAATAGGCAACTTACATTGTTTATCAAAAGAGAAAAAAATAGTAAAAGCAGAAGAAAGAAAAAAACGAAAGAAAAAAGTAATACAAACATTCTATTCTAAGTAGTAAGAAGCACATCCAGCACTTTAGAGGTCCGATTTAATATAATCACAGGTTTTTTGCACCCCACCAACTTAGTATACAATGTAAAATGGTAATTTGAGTACAAGTGTCAGCAATGATAAATGTCAACTAATAGAAAATGGTACTTTCAAAATCAAACCATTTTGTAATTAGAGCTACAGTATTATTTTTCTGGCCCAGCTGGTGCGGCTCAATGGTTGAGCGCCGACCTATAAACAATATTATTTTTCTGTTCAGGGCAAAGGTGTATGAGGAGTGTTGCCATGAGGGTGGGGGTTGTGTGGGCTGAGGCGGGGATGCACAATTCCTGATGATTAACTAATAGTCAAATTGTCACAGTGTTGGGTTATGAACAAATCATACTTTCCCAGTTGGTAAAATCTCTAAAGGGGACCTAAACTCACATACGTGTTAGGGAATTAAAAGCGCGCGCGGGGGGGGGGGGGGGGGGGGGGGGGCCGCGCCCTAACCGGTGTGGCTCAGTGGATAGAGCGTTGGCCTGCGGACTGAAGGGTCCCAGGTTCGATTCCGGTCAAGGGCATGTACCTGGGTTGCGGGCACATCCCCAGTGGGGGGCGTGCAGGAGGCAGCTGATCGATGTTTCTCTCTCATCGATGTTTCTAACTCTCTATCCCTCTCCCTTCCTCTCTGTGAAAAATCAATAACATATATTTAAAAAAATGGGGGAGGGAAACAACACGTAAGAGGAAAAAATAAGACAACACGGAAGAATAAAAATTGAAGACCTTCCACACCGGTTGCTTCAAACATTGAGAAGAAATCCATCCCTGGGTCGCCGGGCTCTCATCGCTTTGGGCGCCCCTAGCGGGGGGCCGAGCCCCACCCTGTCCCTTCCCCTCCGGGCCTGTTTCAGGCCACACCCTGAGCCTGTCGTGCGTCCGCAGCCCCAACACCGGCCCGAGGTGCAGGGGGCGTGGGTTCGAGCTCCCGCGTCCAGCGCTGGCGCCCCGCGCGCCCCGCCCCGCCCCGCCGCTGAGTCCCGCCCCGCGCGCCCCGCCCCGCCGCTGAGTCCCGCCCCGCGCGCCCCGCCCTGCCGCTGAGTCCCGCCCCGCCCCGCCGCTGAGTCCCGCCCCGCGCGCCCCGCCCCGCCCTGCGCGCCCCGTCCCGCCGCTGAGTCTGGCCCCGCCCCGCCCCGTCCCGCCGCTGAGTCCCGTCCCGCCCGCCCCGCCCCGTCCCGCCGCTGAGTCCCGTCCCGCCCGCCCCGCCCCGCGCGCCCCGCCCCGCCCCGCCGCTGAGGCCCGTCCCGCCGCTGAGTCCCGTCCCGCCCGCCCCGCCCCGCGCGCCCCGCCCCGCCGCTGAGGCCCGTCCCGCCGCTGAGTCCCGTCCCGCCCGCCCCGCCCCGTCCCGCCGCTGAGTCCCGCCCCGCGCGTCCCGCCGCCGAGTCACGCGGCCGAGTCACGCGGCAGAGACAGCCCCGCCGGCGGCGCGTGGCCCGCGGCTCAGGTTCGCGGCCTCCGGGCTGCAGGTCACGTGCTCGGCGCGCAGACAGAGCCGCGGGCGCCGGCGGCGGGCGGCGGGGTCGGCGGCGGAGTCACGGGTAGGGGGCCGTCGCGGGGGGCCGCGTGGGGGGCGGGGGGGGCGGGGCGGGCGAGCGGCTGCTCCTGAAACCGGGGGTGGCGGGACCGGAGGGCGGCACCTGCCGGGAGGGTGGCGGCAGCGCTCTTTGTTTACATCCTCCCGCTGTGCCTGGCAGGACGGGGTGAACCCCCCAAAGGACGGGGGTGGGGCGGGGGCCGGGCGGCTGCCACTCCTGCTCCTGGTTAGTGGCACCCCCAGCGCCCCGCCCTGAGCCCAAGGCCCAGCTCCCACCTCTGTGGGCCCAGGTGCTGTCCCGAGAGAAGGCAGCTCCGCCTGTGTCCTCAGCGTCCTGAAAGGATGAGTGGCATCTGCCCCGGCGGCGGGGGGCGGGGGGGGGGTGGGGATGGAGGGGGGTGGGGGGTGTTGGGGGTGTGAACAGGGCCGGAGCCTGGCCCGTGGGGCTCAGCGGTTGAGCGGCCTCCATGCACTGAGGGTCCGGCTCCAGGTGAATCAGATGAGCCTGCCTCAGCCCCGGGCGCTCAGTGGTTGAGCATCGGCCTGTGAACCAGGAGGTTATGGCTGGATTCCCGGGCAGAGCACAGGCCTGGGTTTGGGGCTCCATCCCCAGTGCGGGGTGTGCAGGAGGCAGCCTGTGGAGTCTCTCTCTCTCTCTCTCTCTCTCTCTCTCTCTCTCTCTCTCTCTCTCTCTCTCTCTCTCTCTCCCCCCCCCCCCCCCTCTTCCTCTCTCTGTAAAAATCTTTTTAAAAAGTGATGGGACTCCCAGAGGAGAGCCTGGCCTCTGTAGGCAGCTCAGCTGTGCTGCGGACCTGCTGGCCCAGCCCTCCCCACACCTGGGGCTGCTCCCCCAGCCTCTGGAGCCATGGGGGTGCAGACAGCGCCTAGGCCCGATGCTCCCCTCATTTGTATCTTATACTTAGTTGGGAACAATGTCCATCTTGATTTCTATTTTTTAAATAAGTGACATATTTTGAGCTTTACTAGGTGTCGGGTACTGTCTTAAGCACTTGACACGATTATGCGTGATCCTATCACCAATCCTAGGAGCTCAGCGCTGCTGTTCCACCCCGTGTCCGGATGAGAACCCCGAGGTTCAGAGAGCTGAGGTGACCGTCTTGGGGACATGCAGCAGTAACCAGGAGGCAGGACTCTGGGCTGGGCAGCCCACCGAGCTGTCCTCTTAATCCCACTGCAGCCAAGGGCCCCCATCCCCATTGCTAGCTTAGCAGATTACAGTAAAAGTAAGGGGTGCCCTGGGGAAATCCTGATCATGTGACAGAACGTGTATTTAATTCAGAGCTTGGTTGATGTATTGTGACTGTACTGACCTCACTTGAATAGTGAGCCCCTACGTACCCCACACTTTCTTTCAGAAAACTCCCTCTGAGATCCAGGCAGTGGCCTTACGTGAGGACAGAATGGAATTTGTGCCACTGAAGCCCCTGTCTGCCCTCCGGTCCCCACTGTATCTGGTGTCCCTGGAAATTCCCACTGGTCACTGTCCTTCCCTCGGGCAGATATCCGGGAGGCCTGGAGCTGGCCTGCCCAAGGGGAGGAGGTGCCCTGGGGACCCCAAGGGTCAGGTGGGGAGGAGGGGGGCCAGGCCTCTCCCCCCACAGCTGGTTCAGGGGACCTCCTGACACCTGCTTTGCTCCCCTCTCCCATCTTCCCCCTGACCCTCTCCTGACCTCAAAGAGGGTCACCAGGAAGGCCTCGGCACCTGGACTGGGCTTCGCTTGTTCTCCTCCCAGACTCCCCAGGTCCTTCCCACTCAGGTCCTCTCAGATGCTAAGCCTGCTCCCCCCACACCCCCAATCTAGTTTATCATTTTTAAAAATAGATTTTTTATTGACTTTTATAGAGAGGAAGGGAGAGGAAGAGAGATAGAGAGACCCATGTGAGAGAGAGACATTGATGTGAGAGAGAGACATTGATGTGAGAGAGAGACATTGATGTGAGAGAGAGACATTGATGTGAGAGAGAGACATTGATGTGAGAGAGAAATATTGAACAGCCGCCTCCTGCACACCCCCTACTGGGGATCGAGCCTGAAACCTGGGCCTGTGTCCTGACCGGGAATCAAACCAGTGCACTGGACGACGCCCAACCAGCTGAGCCACCCCGGCCAGGCCAGTTTATCATTTGTCAAGAAAGGAGAGGCCAAGGTGACCAGCAGCCCCCCTCCTGCCTGGAGTCCTGGCCTATCGACCGCTGAGTGGAGAGCGTGTTCAGTGCCAGGGGACATGTTCTCAGTCATGCCCTCTGGCTTGAGGTCAGGGTGGTTCTGTAAAGTGACTCTGACACACCCGCGGTCGGGTGGGGGGGCTGTTATGCCCAGAATTCAAGATCCCCAAGAAACCACGCCAGGGAGCCAGTCCGATGCAAAAGCAGAAGGTCCTTTATTGAGTTAGCTAACCCGACCCGGGCCTCCAGTCGACGCAGCGACCGGAAACCGAGTGCCACCCGTGAGAAATCAGGGCTTTAATAGTGAGGGGAGGGGAGCTGGCTGTGGGCCCTGCCGATTGGCCAGGCGCAAGTCGGGTCTTGTTACACAGGATGTGGTCATCTCTATGGCGCGCACATCCCTTGCTTGTCATTGGTTAGTTCAAAGAAATCCCGGGCGTGGCCAGCAGGGGCCTGGGCTTCCGGGAAGAAGGCACTCTTCTGAGCACATGGCCTCTGCCCCAACATGGAGGATCCAGGGTAAGATGGCATAGCCCTCGCCCTTTCAGGGCGTGGAAAGGTTTTTCCCCTTCTTCACGGTTCCTGCAGGACCACCCCCATCCCCTCTCCCCACACACTTGAGCGCCCCTCCTCTTCCTGCTCCCACAGCAGCATGCAGCCTCTGGTGTTGAATCCACCTGCTGCTTTAAAATGTATCCCTTTCAGCATCTGTTCTCCCTCTAGATTGAGAACTTGGGGCAAGGCATTCGTCTTTCTGAGTTTAGCGAGTGCCCATAAATGCCAGGTATGAAGAGTTCCCAGGAATCAAGGGACAGAAACACACCTAGAAAAGGGGCTCCGTGCACAGGGTTCCCTGCACAGGTGTGTGGGTGGAGGGCTGACTTGAGGGCCAGGCTCTGAGCCCATCTGGGGCCTCCCAGATGGCTGGTCCAAGCAGGGGGAGCTTGTGAACAGCCTGAGGGGGGCAGCTGGGGGGCAAGCATGAGGAGAGCTGTCGGGGTGAGTGGGAGGGGCTGGCACACCACGCCAGGGGCTTATGGGGTGCCGTGAGGAGCTGGGTCTCCCTCTCGTTCCAAAGGGAAGTCCCTGGAGGACTTGTGCCCGGTGGCAGCACGATCCAGCTCTCCTTGGAAAATGGCTGTCACTATCATGTGACGAACGGATTGGACGGGGCTGAGTGGAAAGTCCGGTGACCAGCTGAGGTTTTTGCACAACTGAGGCCAGATGTGACTGTCTGGTGATGAGAATCGCACACCCACTAAGACTTAGGTGGTGAAAGGGACGTGTGTGAGAGAGACTGTGTGTGCATCAGTGTGTGTGTGCGCGCACGTGCGTGTGTGCATGTCCCCAAAGGGGTGAGCAGAGTGAGGAAACAAAGTGTGAACACGTGCCCTCCAGATAAACATGGAGCCATTCTCCAGATGGGGATTAAGCAGCCAGGGATGGATTGATTTTAAATGGGTAAGTTTAGAAGAAATCACGTTTCTCTGAGATTTGTGTGAGACCTTGCTAGTGGATGTGTCAAAGGAAGCAGCTGGCTGTACAGACACCAGATGGCACTGTAATGAGGCTGATTTCTATAAATGGCCTCTCGTCTCACTGTCCACCATGTTAGTTATTTGTTGCTGCCCAACCAAATCACCCCAACACCTAACAGCTTCAAACAGCAAACTTGTGTCATCTCACAGTTTCTAGGGTTGGAAGTCCGAGTGGCTTAGCTGAGTGGTTCTGGCCCAGGGCATCTCATGAAGTTTGCATATGTTTGTGCAAATCAGGAAATGGATGTAGCCAGATTTTGATGCTGTAGGCAGAGGCAGTTTAAAACAATCTCTAGAAAGTTATTTTACACAGATAAGGGAGATAACCATAGCTTAGTGCAGTGGTTCTCAACCTTCCTAATGCCGCGGCCCTTTAATGCAGTTCCTCATGTTGTGGTGACCCCCAACCATAAAATTATTTTCGTTGCGCCGAAACCGGTTTGGCTCAGTGGATAGAGCGTCGGCCTGCGGACTGAAGGGTCCCAGGTTCGATTCCGGTCAAGGGCATGTGCCTGGGTTGCGGGCATATCCCCAGTAGGAGATGTGCAGGAGGCAGCTGATCGATGTTTCTCTCTCATCGATGTTTCTAACTCTATCTCTCTCCCTTCCTCTCTGTAAAAAAATCAATAAAATATATTTTTAAAAAAAAATTATTTTCGTTGCTACTTCATAACTGTAATTTTGCTGCTGTTATGAATCGTAATGTAAAAATCTGATGCACGATGTATTGTCATTGTTACAAATTGAACATAATTAAAGCATAGTGATTAATCACAAAAACTATGTAATTATATATGTGTTTTCCAATGGTCTTAGGTGACCCCTGTGAAAGGGTCGTTCGACCCTCAAAGGGGTCGCGACCCACAGGTTGAGAATCGCTGGCTTATTGGCATGAATGGACATGCACTTTTATGTCCTGATAAATACTTTGCAGTGATCAAATAATCACTCGAACAGCAAAGATGAGTTGTGAAAGTAAAAAGAGAGAAAGCTCATTGAGTGGCCTGAGAAGGAAGCAATCTGGATATAATTATTTTATTCACTTTCATTCATTCATTCATTCATTCATTTATTCACTTACTCATTCGACAAATATTCACTTACTCATTCGAAGGGCCTACTATGTGCCAGGCACTGTGCTGAGTCTCCCCAAGATGTGAGAGCGGAGACGTGCCTGAGTCTGATTTTCTTTGCACTTGGAAATCTGCCTAAACAGAGACCAGCTGCTTGTGAGGCTGCGTTCATGTTGCAGGGGCGGCTCCCGGAACATGCCCCCAGGCTGGGTGGGGTCAGGCCCAGGGGGGAAAGTGCTCTCAGAGCTTTGTGCAATGTTTGCTTTTGTTACTTAATGGTGACTGGTGTGCAGCTGTGGACAATCAGGGGTGTGTGTGTGTGTGTGTGTGTGTTGTGATTAACCCATTAAACTTACCCTTGAGTATGTTACAACCTAGTGGGAAGATTAGCTGCTAAATTCAGTAGAATATGGGAGCTTGGAGCTTGAGGAATGGCCGGGGAGCTCTGGGAACCCACAATTCCATTGAGTCAAATGGAATATGTTTGTAATAAATATGTTGTAGAGGAGGTGACCCTAGGGTGAGTGTTGCACTTGGACTGTCACACAGAGACCTTAAGAACATGAGCACAGCCCTAGCTGGTTTAGCTCAGTGGATAGAGCGTTGGCCTGCAGACAAGGATCCTGGGTTCAATTCTGGTCAAGGGCGTGTGCCCAGGTTGCAGGCTCAATCCCTACTAGAGGGCGTGCAGGAGGCAGCCAATCAATGAGTCTCTCTCATTATTGGTGTTTCTATCTCTCCCTCTCCATTCCTCTCTGAAATCAATGAAAAATATATATATATATTTTAAAAAGAACATGAGCACAGAATAACATCCTTGAATGAACAAGGCATTTCATCATCACTTAAGACAACTGATTCATTCATGTTTCTACTCAACATTCATGGTAAGACTACTTCCTTCTGTGTGTGGGTGAAACTGACATACATGTATATATTTTTTAAACAGGTAATTTTATGCTCCCAACATGGGACATAAAGTGGTCGCATTCGACATTTCTGTCATCAGAGGCTTGTGGGAAACTCGAGTCAAGAAGCACAGAGCTTGGCAGAAGAAGGAGGCGGAGAGACTGGAGAGAAGCGCCTTGGAAAAGTATGTTCTGTGCTGCTCGCAACAGGCAGGGCCCGGGCAGACTGGAGCTGTGTTTGGAGGGGGCGTCTTTCTTCGGGGCCTTCTCACTGTCAGTGACACCCGCTTATTGAACTTCCGAACCTTCACACTGTTGCCCAGAAAGAACATTCAATTTCTATAAAGCAGTACCCACAGCTGTAGGGACTCACATGCACCCAGGCACCATGCTGGGCCCAGGGAAGGCGGCGATGAGGCGATAAAGTCCTCTGCAGCCAGTTCTGGGTCAGGGGCCGCCTGACTCTCCATGCTCATGTGGGCCAGGTGCGGGCTGCTCTGTGTCAGCATGTCAGCCTCCCCCAGGAGCTGGGTGCCAGGCAGGGTTCCTTGTGTTGATGCCAATTTTATTTGATGGTCGTGGTGTGATTTGTAGGCTGACTGCTCTTATGTAAACTCATGTCAATGAAAACGAAATAGAGTTATCACTGTGTTTGTGATAAATATGAATCACACAATCGAATTAACTCTGCACAAGGCTGATGAAAGTCGATGAGCGGGGACGGTTGCACATCCAGGTGCTTTGCGTTCCGTAATTTGTATCCCCTGTGAAGAAACCCAGCTGGACTCCTGGGGATGCAGTATGGGCGCCTGTTTTTTCCATAAAGGGCGGAATGGGATTCCGATGGGCACAACCATTCTACACCAAGTTGGCAAAGTGTGATATTCCTGGACTTTAAGTTAAAAAACAAAATGCAAAGGTGTGGATGTCTCTTTATTCTTGGTTCTTTTATGAACTATCTGGATCGAACTAACACCCATTCTGATCATGCCTGATAACCCAGCTGCTGCTGTAAGCAAATATGGCTGTTTCAGGTGGTGGCTGTCATCCCGAATTGGAAGACAAGGACGAGGGTCCTAAGTAACTTGGCCAATCCCTTTCCCCTACATAATGCTGTGGTCCCAGAGAGTTGGAACTTCTTTTTACTTGTCACTTAGCATCTGTACTGCCTCTGGCCATGCAGAGTCTGTTTTTAAAATTGCCCCTCCTAGAAGCCTTGATCCCCCTGCCACCAAGTCCCTGAGGAGGGTCCGGGTGCTTGGGCTACCTATTTTGAGACAACGTCTGTGCGTTTTGAAGGAAAACGACAACAAATTTTGGTTTTGTACCTCATAGAATGTTAGCCTGTTGAAGGCTCCAAGCAGATATTACACTAAATGAGAAAGGCCCACCACAGGCAAAAATACTACTCTAACCACTGTGCCACCCAGAGGGCAGCAAAGTGTGGCCCACAGTCGTCACGAGTTTACAGCAAAGTTGGGGGATGAGGCATCGGTGTGGAAAGTTGCAGAACTATAGGTCAGACAGTTACCAAGGAGAAGGTGCTGAGGAGGGGTGTGCGTGTGGGGGGGGTGGTGACGGGGGTGCTGAGGGCTCCCCAGCCAGCTCCAGCGTCTGACTGCACCTGGAGTTTATGGTGACAGGCGCACCTGCTGGAGAGAATTTCCCAGGGTGGCTGATGGGAACTTTCTGTAGTCAGGTGTCTCATAAACTGGTGTTGCCTCTGTGTTTCTGTCCACATGCTCGTGAACGATCAGCGAATTCCTGAGGGCGTGCATTTTTAAAACTTGGGTTGGCACCACCTACTATCCAAGGAATAGGATAGGATACTAGCCACCTACTATCATTAATCAAACGTGTAGGTAACTTTGGGAGAAATCTTAGCCGGGAATTTTATCTAACTCCTCTAACTTTTTAAAGCCAAAGTTGCTAGTAATTCACAACCCTGAGGTTTTAAGTTTCCACTGTCCCCACCCCTTCCAGCCAGGGGAGGGCTGTGCCTGTGCCAGGTGCCCTCTGCGGGCAGGTGAGGGCACTGCCCAGTGACGGCGCCTCTGCCTGCGTTTAGGATAAAGGAGGAGTGGAACCTCGTATCCGAGTGCCGCCGGAGAGGCGTCCCCCAGGCTGCCTACTGCCGGGACGGCTTCGTGGACACCGGCGTGCGGCTGCTGGACAAGCTCGAGAGGAACTCCCTTCTACGGCAGAGCTTGCCTTCCAAGGGCAGGGACAAAGGCAGCAGCAAGTTTGTGTTTGAGCTTTCGGGAGAGCACTGGACGGTGAGTCCGTGTGTTCCTGTCTCTGTGGCCAGTGGCAGCTCAGTGCAGCGCTGATGTCCTGATGGCCCCTAAGCTGAGCTCAAAGCCTTGGCCTTGGCGGGTGAGCGCTCTCACCTTGAGAGGGTCTGCTCTGGCCCTGGCTGGTTTGGTTCAGTGGATGGAGTGTCGGCCTGGGGACTGAAGGGTCTCGGGTTCGATTCCAGTCAAGGGCACACGCCTGGGTTGCGGGCTTGATCCCCAGTGTGGGGTGTGCAGGAGGCAGCTAATCAATGATTCTCTCTCATTGATGGTTCTCTCTCTCCCTCTCCCTTCCTCTCTGAAATCAATAAAATATATTTTTAAAAAATTGAAACCAAGAGGTCTGCTCTGAACCAGGTTCTCGAGGCTCCTCCTCCACGAAGGCCCAGGGAGTGGCTCCCGTGGGCACCTGCGGAGCATGGTCGGAAGTCCTCTGCCTTCTGTCCATCTTTCCCTCCTGCAGACTCTTAAAAACACTTAGAAATTCGGCCCGGCAAAGAGTACATGTTTATCAGTTTTTTGAAAAGCAACTACAGAGGCAGGGAAATGCAGGCCAAATCGATCAGTCGGGTGCATGGACAGGCTGTATTTTTAGATGTTAAACTGGCACGTGTAAACAATAAGGCATGTCGTGGCTGTGGCTGTGAGCCAGCTTGTCTGTGCTGACCAGGCATCTCACTTGAATAACATCACAAATTCACGGCAGTTCTGAGCTGGGCTGATCTCTTGCTGCGACATGAGTGACCCCCGCAGTGTCCTGCTTTCTCTGAAACGCCCGGGAGCTGGCAGTCACCTCTGACACTCTCGCGCATGACCTCTCACGACCTCTCGCTCTGGCTTTTTAAATGAGCACACGTGTTCCTGGGCTTTGTGCGCGCTTGGACACATTGAGGACCTAGTGCCCCCCTGCCATTCACCTGTCCCAGGAGCTCCCAGACGCCCTGAAGGAGCAGACGCACCTGAAAGAATGGCACATAAACCACACCCGGATTGAAGCCCTTCCTGCCTATGTCAGGCTCTTCCAAGCGATGAGAATTCTGGATCTGCCAAAAAACCAGATCTCCCATCTTCCGGCTGAAATTGGTATGTCTCTCAGCAGGGCCCAGGCCTCCGGTGAGCAGGCAGCCGGTGGACAGGTGCGGCTGCCGTGAGAACTGCTCCCCCTCCCACCCCAGGAAGTCGCCAGGCAGGGCCGTGCTCTGTGTGCCCAGAGCTGCTTGGTCACAGTGTCCCTTTGGGTGGACGCCAGGGTCCCGCCTGTGTAACTCAGCACATACAGACCTTTGCCAGATGCTCAGAATCTAGAAGTCTCATGAGTGAGCAATGCTGTGTTCAGGGATTTTTCATTTTCTTTCTGTCATTGTGATAGTCATTTTTTTCCTTTGTTCTGGTGACAGGCTGTTTGAAGAACCTGAAAGAACTCAACGTGAGTTTCAACCATTTGAAGAGCATTCCTCCAGAACTGGGAGAGTGTGAGAACCTCGAGAAACTGGATTGTTCTGGAAATCTAGAATTGACCGAGCTCCCCTTTGAAGTAAGAAAGTTACCATTTCTGCACGATGATTTATTTTTATTTGGTGCATGATATGGAATGGTCTATAATATGGGGAAGAAGCTTTGAAAAATGAAACCCATCTATATTATGTCACAATTTCCTGACATTGCCATCACCATCTACTGGCTATTATAAGGTCTTTAAAATGTTCTTACACTAGGCCAGGACCTGATTTTCAGTTCAGAAATGCCATCAAAGGAAAACTAGGCAAAAATCCTGTTTTCATGCAAGATATTTGTATTTAATGCCTATTTAATATATGATGCCCATTGTCTGTGATACAGACCTGGTTTATTTATCCACAATGGTGAAATGCATTAGAAGCAGCTGGAAATAAATAAAGGGGGTATAATTTTAAAAATTTATATTCTGAACACAACTGTAGGTAACTCAAGTAGTCCTACAGATAGGATTTAAGACATTTATTAACTGAAAAATATTTATCAGTTTCCTTTGGTCTGTATTCATTGGATAAATGATTTCAAATCATTTCCTGACAAAATGGAGCAGATGACAGTGAACTGTTTTAATTGCCAAATAAGACTCAACAGGCCTCTTGTGTTGAAGAGATAAGGGTCTGACAGTCCTGCAGGTGATGAACAGGCTAAAAATGGTATTGCTGGCAAGGTTCGGACACGGCCTGGCTGCCGGTCACACTGCTAATCTCCTTTCCTGAAAGCTTCCTTGTGGGAGGAGGTGGCTGCTTCTACCCACACCCATCTCGCCCCAGCAAATGCCTGACAGTGGTCCAGGGGAGGGGACGCTGCCAAGGTCATGGTTCCGTACACAGCGTCATTCCTCCCCAGTTTGGAAAATGGCTCAGTCCTCTCTCACGCGGTCAGATTACAAGCGAGCCAAGTCACCTCTGACCTTTTTTGCTTCCATGCCGTCAGTCAGTCCTCTTGGGCAGGCCCTAAACATCTGACCACTGCCCAGCACCTTCCCACCAACACCCTAGTCCAAGTCCAAGTGGTCTGTCATCTGGACTGGGACACGGCCTCGAGGCTGCTCTCTCTGCTCCTTGTACCTTCCCCGCTTTATTAAGAGGTAATTTACAGGCCATAAAATTCAGTGGTTATAAGTGTACATTTCACACACTCACCTGGCAGGGGAGATGTCATGATCACGAAGGTGGTTTTCCCAGGGCGAGGCTTACCCACTGCACTCCGGAGGTGCTGATCCCTGGGATTTCCCCAAATGTGGGGAACTCGACTGCCTATTTTGTGGCCGTGGGGGACTGCATTTGTGCTCTCCCCTGAAATTAAATAATAAATAAATAAGTAAACATTTTATCAACTCAGTCTTAAGATATTCCCAGCACCCCCTGAGAATTCTGTTTTGCCCATTTACTATATAAAATTGCATTGCTTACTTATGAAACCACCAAGTCCTCAAGGGCAGCCACTGTGAGCTACTTATCTTCGCACCCCCGGTGTGCTGCACAGTGGTCCACAGAACACACTGTTTTGACCTCTTTTGCATATATTCATAGGAATGCCTTTGGGAAGAGACATCAGTTGAAAAGTTATTAGTCGAACTTAACTCTCTCTCTTACAGAAGTAATTGGAATATTTTGTTGTTCCTTTCTAGTTAAGTAATTTGAAGCAAGTTACATTTGTAGATCTCTCAGCAAACAAGTTTTCCAGTGTCCCCATCTGTGTCCTGAGGATGTCCAGTTTGCAGTGGTTGGATATCAGCAACAATAGCCTGAGTGACCTGCCACAAGACATAGACAGGTAGCTACTTGCATTCTGAAGGTGAGGTGTATGGACTAGTTACTAACATCTTAGACACCATAACATTTTACACTTGCATAGCACATGAATGGTCTTTGAAATCAATGAATTCTCCAGAGTTTATTGTTTCTGGGAAATGAGTTTGGTTCTTTATATAATAAGACAGTGTCTAGTCTACATCATACATGTACATGTGTATCTACAGGGATGGGCAAAAGCAGGTTTACAGTTGTGAATTTGCAAAACACAATTCTTATATTATTTAATAATTATTGTATTGTTTTTCATATGAGCAACTGTAAACCTACTTTTGCCTACCTGTATAGGTTCATGTGAACAAATCTTCCTTGTTTTGGTGAACTTTACTTCGGTCCCCAATAGAATGGCATCATCCACTTTCCTTTACTCCACAGAAGTAGAAAAGTAAAATTATTACATATGGAATAGAAATATATCACTCCGTGTTTAGGATATCAGTGAGGGTAATGTTTACTAGTTTCACTTATTGATTTATTATACATAATCTTTCAAACAGAATTGGGATGCTTATTAAGGTTTTCAAATTATATCCTTGTAGCTATTTCATGTTTAGAAATAATTGTTACACTGAATCACATATCATTCATTCATTCATTCCGCCAATGTTATTAGTCGCCTATATGGCAGGTTGGGTTTAAAGTTGTGAATGAAACAAAATCTCTGGCCTCCTGAAATCTGCCACCTTCTTTAGAAAGTAGCATAAGACACCAAAAGTGGCCTCGTCTGAAGGCCACCTCCTGTTTCTGTTTTCTGCTCCTGGTACATCTGATGTGTAGCGATGCTTTCTCAGTCGGTGAGTGTTAGGGTAACTGCTTTGGTTTGAGATAGGAGGGGCTTTGTGGAGTGTTTATGGGGTCTGTCACGATTATGCAGACGGATGAAAGAAAACACTGAAGAGGGAGCCGCAGAGTCAGACTAAAACGGGAACCAGAGTAAAATGCCCTGGGGCGCCGTCGGCTCGTTTCTATCCTCCACAGACTTCTTCCCACTGAAAGCTAGAAAATACGACGAGAGAGGAATAACAGTACTCTCAGGATCTACAAAAGGAAACATTGGCTGACATTTGTTTATTTTCATAACTTCTTTCCCGTGCCCTGTTCACCCTTGGAAGGAGGCAGACACTGGGAGGAATATATTGATTTTTTAAAGTGTTTCGATTACAGTTTGCATTGAACACTGCTTTGTATTAGTTTCGGGTGTACAGTGTAGCGGATAGACATCCATATTGGAAGGATATGCTGATTTTTTTAGGCCCCCTACTGCATCCTGTGCCATGTGCTTATGCTGCCGCTGTATCTGTGTCTTCCATCGGCAATGAAGTCAGTAAAAAAATAAAAAATAAACACAAATTGTGTCACCTGGTAGGAATTTGTTTAATTTCTTAAGTTAGTTTTTTTCTCATAAGGGTCACATATAAACGATAAACTAATTCGTGATTTCCTGCTGGGACTGATGGGTAGTTCACTCTAGTGTTCTTTGCTGGGAAGCTGAGTCCTTGTGCTCTGATCCCTTTTCCGTCCTCTTAGGCTAGAGGAGCTGCAGACGTTTCTCCTGTATAAGAACAAGCTGACCTACCTTCCCTATGCCCTGCTTAACCTGAAGAAGCTCACTTTGTTAGTCGTCAGTGGGGACCATCTGGTGGAGATCCCGACGGCCCTCTGTGACTCCTCCACACCTTTAAAGTGAGTAGACCACTGCCAGCCGCGTGGCTCAGCGGTTGAGCGTGGATCTATGAACCAGGAGGTCGAGGTTCGATTCCCAGTCAGGGCACATGCTGGGTATGCAGGCTCCATCCCCAGTAGGGGGCGTGCAGGAGGCAGCAGATCAATGATTCTCTCTCATCATTGATGTTTCTGTCCTCTCTGCCTTCCTCTCTGAAATCAATAAAAAAATTATTTAAAAAATAACTTTGAAAGTGAGTAGACCAGAGATCCTCGTAGAGACACGTTCAGTAGAGACATGTTTAGACACAAGGTAAGGAGCGAGGGGCGTCTGGAGCCTGAGGTCCTGTCTCAGATCCCAGTTCACGGGAGTTCTGATGCTTTTTACAGGATTTTGAAGTTTTTGGACAGTAACATGAGGAGGTAGAACTCAGAGGATTTCTATGCAATCTACATGCTGGTTGAAGGCACAGTGGGCCAGATGCCTGGGATTCCATTGTCTAGACTCTAGGCCAGGGGTGGGCAAACTTTTTGACTCGAGGGCCACAATGGGTTGTTAAACTGGACCGGAGGGCCGGAACAAAAGCATGGATGGAGTGTTTGTGTGAACTAATATAAATTCAAAGTAAACATCATTACATAAAAGGGTACGGTCTTTTTTTTTTTTTTTTTTTTTTATTCATTTCAAATGGGCCGGATCCGGCCCGCGAGCCGTAGTTTGCCCACGGCTGCTCTAGGCAATAAGGTTGTTAATCTTTCCATGATGATAAGCAGTTCTTGGAAAAGGAGAATGGACTTCATTCCCAGGTTAACTCCCATATCCCAGGTGTACAACTCCCAGCTGATCAGAATGTGCCTTCTCTAATGAGAACAGAACAATCACGGTTAACTGAGCATGATTAATATTTCTGCCCCCAACAAAAACAGTGACTGACCAATGAAAGATTGCCTTTGGGTTCTGGGGTAACAAAGGGGAGGGCAAGAGACTGCTGCTTTAAATAAAAAGTACCATTTCATTGTTCAAAATTTAAAATATGCATGGTGACTTACTGTGATTAAAAAATGAAGAATGGCCGAAACCGGTTTGGCTCAGTGGATAGAGCGTCGGCCTGCGGACTGAAAGGTCCCAGGTTCGATCCCGGTCAAGGGCATGAACCTGGGTTGCGGGCATATCCCCAGTAGGAGATGTGCAGGAGGCAGCTGATCGATGTTTCTCTCTCATCGATGTTTCTCTCTATCTCTCTCCCTTCCTCTCTGTAAAAAAATCAATAAAATATATTTAAAAAAAAAAAAAGAAGAATGATGAAATATAGGCAGATTGTTTTGGGGGTAGGGAAAGACAATAACAATTAATGCAATGAAAGATTGCAAAGGAAAAATTGAGTGGATCTAGATAAGAATTGAAACCTTTTTGCTTTCTCTATATTTAGACATTAAATACAATGAATGGAGAAAACATATGCTAAAATATGACAGATGTGTGTGGATAAGCCACATGTACTTATTGCATATAATTTTCTAAAACCAGTTAGAATGATTTTTATTAGGTTTGATCCAGCAACTGAACTGATCAGGTCATTTCACTGTAGACATTCTCTTTGCTGAAGATCACATTTCATTGTGGTGGCCACTTTCCATGATCTCCCCTCTGGGTGTGCATAAAGGAGTCTCCGCCCAGAAAAAAGCCCGCCAACAGTCCTTTCAAAGCTGCTGACTTCCGTCACTGGGTGCTGGAGGCATCCAGCTCAGCCACCTGGTGTGCGGATGAGCACCATTCTGGCCTCACTTGTTCCTCCTTCCGCGAGCTAACAGTGCTAAGACTGCAGGGCCTACCGTTGCAACCAAAGAGGCTTTGAGGGATTTCCTAAATAATTATATCATTTTCACTTAAAACATCTTTTACAATTGTGAAGACAGAAAACCAAATGCCGTTTTAGTTGCTTTCACTTAACTACTTTTTCCTTAGCAGTAACTCATTTGGAAACACCTTTAAAAAAAAATCTGTGGCCGAAACCGGTGTGGCTCAGTGGATAGAGCATCAGCCAGCGGACTGAAGGGTCCCGGGTTCGATTCCGGTCAAGGGCATGTACCTGGGTTGCGGGCACATCCCCAGTAGGAGATGTGCATTAGGCAGCTGATCGATGTTCCTCTCTCATCGATGTTTCTAACTCTATCTCTCTCCCTTCCTCTCTGTAAAAAATCAATAAAATATATTTTTAAAAAAATCTGTGAGTATTTATTGAGGACGTGCAGTGCTCCCAGCATGGTGCCAATTACAGAAAATTCAGAAATAGATTCCATTCTGCAGCCCAGGCAGCAGAAGCCTAAGACATTTTATAAAATAGGACCAACCCTGTTATGTCTTTTTTTATTTTGTTTTGTTTTTTAAATATATTTTTATTTCAGAGAGAAATGGGGAGAGAAAAAGAGATAAAAACATCAATGATGAGAGAGAATCATTGATCAGCTGCCTCTTGCACGCCCCCTATTGGGGATCGAGCCAGTAATCTGGGCATGTGCCCTTGACCAGAATCAAACCCGGGACCCTTCAGTCCCCAGGGGGACGCTCTATCCACTGAGCCAAACCGGCCAGGGCCCTGGTATGTTTTTTAAGGGTCCATTTACCTAAATACCACTATCTCTTAGTTACCATCCCTTTAAAGATATAAAAATGCCCAACCTCCCCCCAAAATAAAACTGTAAAACAAACAAACATTTATCCATTTATTCACTCATTAAATACTCATTTCTTGTGTGTGTGTGTGAGTGTGTGTGTGTGTGTGTGTGTTAATCCTTACCTGAGGATATTTTTTCTTTTTAAAATTTATCATTATTGTTGAAAATATTACAGATGCCCCCTTTTCTCCCCCCATTGACCCCCTCCACTCAGCTCTCTCCCCCTCCCCAGTCTTCCCTGCACTGTTGTCTGTCCATGGGCGATGCATATATGCATATCAGCTCATTGATTAATCTCTCCCCCCACCCCTTCTGCTTCAGTGTCTCTGGATCTTTTTTGTTTGTCAGTTTATTTTGTAGAAATACCTCCTTTTTGGGGATTTTACCTGAGTTCTTTTTAGTTAAGCCTGGTTTAAGAGTTGGTGTCCTTCCCTCTGGCAGCCATCAGACAGCTGTTTGTGTTCATAAGTTTCAGTTTTCTATCCCAGAAGAAGACCTGACTTGGGTGGTGGGCACACGGTGCAATATACAAATTTTGTAACATAGAAATGCACACATGAAACCTATATGTTCATGTTGACCAGTGTCAACCCCATCAATTTCAACAAATGAAAAACAAGATGTCACTAACTGGGAGTAATACCAAGCCCCGGAAGGCATCAGACAGTTTTAAGGATCTGACTGAGAGAAGCTCTTGCCCCTTGCCTTCTCTCTGTGGCTGAGTAGCTCTCATCTCCCCATCAGGCCTCTGGACAGTCTGTGCCTGAATACTAATTCCATAACCCTGATGGATTGTTCCACAGTGGAATCCACTGGTGGTGATAATTTTATGGTCAACTGTGACTTTCAAGAATAAGTGAGAACTTGGGGTTTAGGACAACAAAGGTTGACTTCCCATGGGAGGAATTTTGCAGTTCAGAATGCACAAGGGAAAATGTGATATTGTCCATATTTTCTTGAATAGATTTGTAAACCTTATGGACAATCCCATTGATAATATTCAGTGTCAAGATGGCGAAGAAATGAGGGAAAGTGAACAAGATCGTCAACACTTTGATAAAGAATTTATGAGAGCCTATATTGAAGATCTTAAAGAAAGAGGTAGGTTACTCATATTTAAAACATTTTAAATGAATATACAAAATTCCATTAACTCATGCCATACTTACATACATGATTTATTGATAAAAGTAAAATTGACAAAAGTTAATTGGTTCGGGGCAGTTTACTTCCTAAATTACCTTTCCATTTACCAAAAACAAAAGATATCTTTCCTTAAAATATTTGATTTGCCTAGTGCACTTGAATGCTTGATACACCATCGACTATCTTACAGAGAAACATATACTTACAGCGTGAGGGTTGTTGTATTGCTAATTGTACATGAGTTTTTAACTAAATGACATTGACAACAGTATCCTACTTAATGGGATAATAAGATTCTATTTCAAAACCCATTTAAATTCAATATTAGAAAAAGTCATCTCTTATATAAATCAAGGTATACCCATATCAAAATCACAAAATGGAAAGCACAAGATGGCAGACTAGCAACTCAACCCATTTAGTTTGAGTACACAGAGGAGTGTGGAGGTGCGGGAAAGTGCGATTTCCACAGTGTGCCTCCTGTCACAAGATGCATAAACAGAAAGAAGGCATTAGTCCTGTTCTTCTGATCATGTAGTCACACACCAACATGGAACAGAGAACGGCTGAGTATATGTTTTCCTATTGTTACAGAATCTGTCCCCAGCTATACCACCAAAGTGTCTTTTAGCCTTCAGCTCTGATGCCATCCATCAGAAGACCGCAGAATCTCCCTGTCTGTGCAGCTGCGAATCTTCGTGCTGTGGGCCATGTCATGTAGGAGTAATGGCTTATGCTTAAGCAGCAAGCCTAAAAGCCAGGTTGTAACTTCAGGAAAATGACTTTCAAATTCCAAGTGAAAACTTCTCTGTGGACTGGTGAATTGATCAGTGGGTTTATAGATTGAAAGTTAAAGGCTCATTTGCATACACTTGTTTCCAAATAATGCACATTTAATAGTTTAGAAATGCATTATTTTTAAAAATTGTAACTTAGACCAAATTCTGAAGTTGTGTTGTTTTTAGGCATCAAGCGATAGAGGGGCAGAAATGAAAGAGCATTTCTATTGGATGAATTCAGATGAGAGTTTATTTTATTTTGTGATTTTGAAGGAGTTGTAATGCATTGTTTCTTTTACTGAGAATAATTGTCCTTGGGTTTATACAAATTGCTATTACCGTATGCTTTAAATTGCAAGTGTGGGTGTGGGGAAGCACGGGACTTGGTTGGAAAATTTGTAAGGAGGAAACTCCGAAAGGCCAGAACCTCCAGGGGGAGTTGGCTGAAGGCATCTGCCCCGCCTTGACTTTTCCAAACAAGTCTGAGCCCCCGGGTGTTTATTGGAATCTTTACGCTTAGTCTGTAGATGTCCTTACCTAAAGGACACAGTGTCTTCTCAAGGATGCTTACCCTTCTGATAGTATCTAACAGTTAATTTTAGTTCAAGCTGTTGTTAAAATAAAAGCCTGAGGAGGTAGGCAAACAGGGATGTGTGGTTTCTCTAGCCAAGCAGTCCCTTAGCCCTCCCTTTCACAGCAATTGTATGTCAGAGTAATCATTCATCTGTCGGTGATCAGGGTCTGCTGGTCAGCCCCAGCAAGTGGTGCCCCATGTGAGGAGGAACACACGAGACACAGCGGAAACCTCAAAAACAAAAGTAACTGCACAGTAAGTCACGAGCCTGCTGGAGATTTCCATGTTCGAGGGAACTGTTTCTCAGCTAAAGTTTCACAATGGGACAGCAGCTGCCCGCCGAACAACAGCAATATGTAAGAGTCAAGTGGGGCCTCAGTTATCTCTGGGAACAAGTGGGCAGGAATTTAAAAAGAAGTCAGGCCCAGGGAAAACGAGTGCCCTTGACATCATTAACTATGTGGGTTCTTGTTCAAGCTGCACTATGCCCACTTCCTATCGAGGATCAAAAGCCTACAGAACACCAGGAGGAACTACCACCACCCCCTCCTCCTGAAGTAGAGCCTGTAGTACCTAAAGCCCCACTACTGGAGGACACGTTTCCTGTTCTCTGCCACTGGTGTGGGAGAGTTCATCAACTAGACCCTCAGTTGTGGGATCCTGTGTCAGGCAAGCTATGTTAGAAGGAGAGCTTTGGCTTGCCCAGTTATGCAAGACCAACAAGGTAATGAGCCACTCTGGTAAAAAAAAAAAAAAAAAAAAAAGGTACTTTTGCACTAAAGACATTGGAGGCACAGGAGTTGCTGCAGTTCTGGGAACAAACCCTGGGGCCTACTATCTCCCCCCATACACACCCACCTCTTCTCCGTGTGAGGAGGAACACACGAGACACAGCGGAGTGTGAGAGTTGTCAAGGTTATGCTACCTTTGTTATGCTTCTTAAGAATCTATATATAGCCAAAACCGGTTTGGCTCAGTGGATAGAGCGTCGGCTTGCGGACTGAAAGGTCCCAGGTTCGATTCTGGTCAAGGGCATGTACCTGGGTTGCGGGCACATCCCCAGTAGGAGATGTGCAGGAGGCAGCTGATCGATGTTTCTCTCTCATCGATGTTTCTAACTCTCTCTCTCTCTCCCTTCCTCTCTGTTAAAAATCTATAAAATATATTTTTTTAAAAAAAGAATCTATATAAAACCATAATATGCAAATAGGCCAAACGGTGGAACAACCGAACAACTGGTCGCTATGACGTGCGCTGACCACCAGGGGGCTCACGCGGGACATGGTGGGCGTCGGCTGTGGTGGGATGGTGGAGCAGGTGAGTCGGGGCACCAGACCAAAGCAGGGTGCCGGTTGCTGTCATGAGGTGAGCCTCTGGTGGTTACTAAAAATTCTCTGCTCCTGTGTGCCGCGGTCCTGCCCGGAGCTTGCACCTGCTGCTGGCGATGGCCCCGCTCACACTCACTTCTGGCACTGGCCCCAGTCACTCCGTGCCATCAGCGGGTGCGAGTGGGGCCAGCACCGTCAGCGCATGCAGCAGCAGCGGCGGGAGCAGGGCTGCCGGCAGAGAGGGGACAGGGGCCGTGGCAGGAGGGGCTGGGCAGGGGCCTGGATGATGGGCTGAGTCCTGCCTCTATGCCCACTGCAGCTTTGCGGCCCACAGTTCCTTTCAAGGTGCATGAAGTCGTGCACTGGGCCCCTAGTGTGAGTATATTTTCCATTGGAATAATAAGCCTATTTATGAAAGTAAGGGGGAAAAAAGTTTTTTTCATTATCTTCCTAGAAAGCAAAGGTTCTCTGGATTTATAGAAATGCAAGAAAAATCAGGAGAAAAAGAATTTTATTATAGGACTAAAAATAATTATAGTTGTTATTCTCATGGCAATATGTTTGCATAAATCCAATGAGAATCTGATTTCTTCATAACAGGACATAAGTCAGTTTCCAATTGTGGTTTTATTAACCAAAACTTCACTGGAATGTCATGTCTGAGAGAGAGACATCCCAGAACTTGGAGCCTGTGTAGAACTGACCTTTAATTCTAATTAATTAGAAAGAATTCATAGTTTTGGTATAATAGAAGGTGTAGAGATAAAGGAAAGAGAAAGTGAATAGACAAACTGAAAGGGTCTGGGTAAGTTGCAGAGGGTTTGTAAAGAATTAGAGTTGAGGAAGTAAAAATGGTGAAAAGGATATAAAGGAAGGGATATAACAGGAAGAAAGGATATTGGGGTAGGAATACTTAATAGAAGGCATGGGGAATAGAGATGCATTTTGAAGGAAAAGAGATTAATGTAAGAATATAAAAATCAGGATTGTGAAGAGAAATCTTAAAAGGAAATTATAGGTATACTGAGTAATAAATCTAGTTAGATAAATGAATCTAAAGTAAACTAATACAGAATTTGTTTGGTTCTTTTCCAGTGTGTTGAAAGGGAAAGCTTCTTTACAAAGAGATTTACTACTATAGTACAAGTTTGATAGACATCCACCAATCCACCTAATCAGAGGGGGGAATGAAAGGGGGGATTTATAATCTAATAGGTAGAACACCTGAATTAATCTGAAAAGTAATCATATTATTTTAAATCTTAGAACGCATATACTTATGTGAATAGGGGGTTAAGTTTCTTATGTATATATAGGGAAACATATATAAGTTTCTTATGTATATATATATTAAGTTTTTCTTAAAAGTTTCCTTTTCAAGGCCTTTGTGAAGTGATTAAGGAGCTGACTCAGCTGTGAAGCCAGCAAGCAGAACCTATAAGCATGGTCAGGTCGACCCACCAGGAGTCAAAACATCATCTCATCGCCTGATGACTAAAGGACAATAGCTGGCACCTGTGGTCCCCCAGGCCTACACATAGCTACATTCCTCACCGCCTGCCCCTTCCCCTTTATGATCCTACTCCCTGCACCTTACTAGAAGGCAGGATGCCGTGGTGTAGCAACAAATACTCAGTTGTGATTGGGAGCACAAGCATATATGTGTCACCCCCTTAAAATAGAAGAGTAGTCACCATCAGTAGATAAATATGATAAAACATCTATAAAGAGTCTTTCATGATAACCTTACTAAAGAAGTAAATGCATTACAAAAGCAAATTAAAGAACCCTTACTTACTATCAGTAAACATGAACAACAGACTGCTACCTCAAATACAGTAAAGGAGCATTTGAAGTAGATAGACCCCACCACATGGTTTCCTAGAATCAATTGGCGCCCGATTGGACTTAGCGTTACTGTCATTGTAATTCTCTTTGTTTTTCTTATAGTCTGCAAAATCAAAACTCGAGCAGTAAACATGCTTCACGACCCTGACATTCCAAAGCAGAAAGTTTGCTGCCTCCCTCTGTCTTCTGCCAGCAAAACAGAATGGGGGTATGTGGGGAAGCACGGGACTTGGTTGGAAAATTTGTTAGGAGGAAATTCCCAAAGGTCGGGAGCTGGCTGAAGGTGACCGCCCTGCCTTGACTTTTCCAAACAAGTCTGGGTGTTTACTGGAATCTTTATGCTTAGTCTTCAGACGTCCTTGCTTAAAGGACACTGCAGATGCATGTGTCTTCTCATGAATGCTTACCCTGCTGATAGTATCTAATAGTCAATTTCAGTTCAAGCTGCTGTTACAATAAAAGCATCAGAAGACAGGTGAACAGGGCTGTTTCGTTTCTCTCGTCAGGCAGTCCCTTAGCCTCCACAGAAATGTGTGCCAGATGCCAAAACCGGTTTGGCTCAGTGGATATAGCATCGGCCTGCGGACTGAAGGGTCCCAGGTTCGATTCTGGTCAAGGGCATGTACCTGGGTTGCGGTCACATCCCCAGTAGGAGATGTGCTGGAGGCAGCTGATCGATGTTTCTCTCTCATTGATGTTTCTAACTCTCTATCTCTCTCCCTTCCTCTCTGTAAAAAAATCAATAAAATATATTTAAAAAAAAAAAAAAAAAGAAATGTGTGCCAGAGTAATCATTCATCTGTCGGTCAGGGTTTGCTGGTCAGCCCTGGCACGTGTGCTCTCAGGAGAGTTTAGGTGTGATCTGGGCTTTGAAGGTGGAAGGGCTGGGATGCCAGCGCACACAGTGGGCATGGTGCACTCAGGTGGTGTGCTGGCAGTCCTGGTAGAGGAAGGGCGGGTATGGCTGGTCATGGGGAGTCTTGGATGGCCTGCATGGATGGTCATCTTGCTCTGGGACCCAGCTGAGAGCAGGGAGCAGAGGCAATGCCTTAGGGCCACCCCCCTCCAAGGTGGCCAGATAGTGTAGTGGGGATGACTGACCCACATTGGTGAGGGGTCCCTTGCAAGGCTTCCTCATGGGTACCATCTGCCCATGGCCAAGATGCCATGGACCCAGAGGGAGCTCATGAGACTGTGTCTTACGTGACAAAGATTGGGTTCATTACTTTGGACTCCCATATCACATCATAATATGGAGAAATTGTACAAATATTTACTTTTATACCACTGTCCTGGGCTCAAACAAACAGGATTGTTTGTTGAAGATAAGCTTAAACAAGTAGGTTTTGTGACTAAGAATGAAAAAAATTCATGTATTCACATAGATTTCTGTACAAATCAACTGCTATTTGGTGCAGCTCAGTTCTGCCCAGGAGCCCTTCCTGCAGCGATGGCGTCTTCCACATGTGTGTCCAGTAGCATGAGAACTTGAATGCTGACAGGTGTGACTGAAGAACTAAATTTTTCATTTGATTTAAATTTAAACAGTCAGCATATTAGACAGTATGGGTCTAGCCAGTTGGGTTCTTTAGGAAGTTAATCTGGGCTAAATATGAAGTGTGACTTTTATTTTCTCTTTTTGAAGAATCAGTCTGTCCCCATAGGCATGCATTTAAAAAAGGTTACTACTGACGCTCCAATATCTTGTCTTGGTGGGTCTAATCACAATTCCAAATAATTTATCCTCAACAGGCAGAGCTTCTACAACCACAGTAGAGGAGTGCTCCAACTTAAAGACAAACTCGGGGAAGTAGTTTAAGAGATGAAAATAATAGGAAAATGAGAAATCACTGTAATTGGACCTCAAACAACTGTATTTTTCTTTTTAACTCTTTAACAATGTAATTCAAGAGCCACAAACAAGTCCCAGCTTGGAGGGCAAAGCCCTCTTAGCAAATTAAGCTTAACCCTATAGCCCTCCCTAGTTCCTTCCTGGGCAGCTAATGGGCTGTGGGAGGTGTAGCAAGTGCTGCCAAAACAAGGTGACAATCACAGGAACATTGTAAACATGTTGGCCACATCCCTTGTTTTGATCTGACTATAAAATAAAGCTTCAGCTTGCAGGCTGGGTCTTTCCGTGCCCTCATCCAGGCACATGAAATCCGCTGAGCCCCAGCTGTATTCGCTTGTCTGTCTTCTCTGTAATCCTTCACCACCCCTCCTGAGGCTCACCAAACCCTTGGCTGTGCTGGCGCAGCACACTACTGAATGATTTTGGAATTTTATTTCATGCCGAGGTTATGTTATATATGGTCAAATAGAAAATATATGAAATGGGGACTTTCATACAAGTTGACTTTTTTGAACTTATGTAAATTTTGTTTCAATAAAACCAGTCATTTGTGCAAAAATCTGTCTTGGTGTTCATATAAATAAACTAGAGGCCTGGAGCACGAATTCATGCACGGGGGCGGGGGGGGGGGGTTCTCTCGGCCTGGCCAGTAATGAGGGCCAATGGGGGCTGCAGAGGTTGGCGGGGAAGGGGGGGAGGGGCTGCAGGAGGTTGGCTCTGGGAGCACATTGACCACCGGGGAGCAGCTCCTGTGTTGAGCATCTTCCCCGTGGTGGTCAGTGCGCATCATAGCGACCGGTCGTTTGGTCCTTCAGTGGTTTGGTCACTCAGGCTTTTATATTTATGAAGAGTACTACAACCCTAACCGGTTCGGCTCAGTGGATAGAGCGTCAGCCTGCGGACTGAAAGGTCCCAGGTTCGATTCCATTCCAGCCAAGGGCATGTACCTTCGCTGCGGGCACATCCACAGTGTGGGGTGTGCAGGAGGCAGCTCATCGATGTTTCTTACTCTCTATCCCTCTCTCTTCCTCTCTGTAAAAAAAATCAATAAAATATATTTTAAAAAGACTACTGCATTTTTATATACTTGTTTCATGTTACATAATACCCGCAAACGAATATATTATTGAATGCAATGCTTGTAGAGATACTATTTTATCCCCCTGCCCCTGGCTGCCAGCTCCACACGCGTCTGCGCCTCGCACCCCCAGTTCCTTCCCACCTTCGGCCTCTAGTCCTGGGTTGCCCCGCCTGCTTTGGAAGCCCTGGCGGTTGGGGGTGGGGGGGAGGGAGCCAGTCAGGTAGCCCCGCGGAGAATGTGGCACCTAATTAGAAACGTGAGGTTCAAGACGCGGAAAAGGCTGCTTTAATGAACCTGTGTTCGAGGAAGCCGGACAGGTGCGGCCGATCCGGGGAATGGGAAGGGCCCGGGTTCCCTCTACGCTCCTCTGTACACGGTGCGCACAGCTCTGTACACGGTGCGCACAGACGAGCACAGGAAGCTGACACAGGTCCGGCCTGGGCACAAGGACCCTCCCGCCTCGGGCAGGCGTCCGGCCGGGCTCATGGGCACCGCCTGTCCCTCTGTCTGCAGCTTTTCCTGGATGACTCCAAAATGAAGAACTTCATCACCTGTTTCAAAGGTACTGCTGTGCCCTCTCCACCTTCCTTCTCCCTTCGGGGAAGGCTTCGGAGGGTCCGCCCCCCAACCCCGCCCGCGGCAGGGGCTGGGCATCCTGAGCTCCCGAGCCCCGCTATCGAGTGAGGCCAGGGCGGCCCTCCCTGCCGGCGCGGCCCCTGGCGTGGCCCTGGGGTAACGGGGCCTGGCGTGGTGAGCAGCCCGTGTCCGCCTCCCCAGACCTGCAGTTCCTGGTCACCTTCTTCTCCCGTCTGAGACCCAACCGCAGCTACGAGGCCTCCTTCCCCTTCCTCTCTCCCTGCGGCAGGGAGCGCAACTTCCTGCGCCATGAGGACCGCCCGTGGTCTTTACGCATCTGCTGGCTTCAGGCCCCGCGCCTCTCCCCCTGCGGCGGCGGATAGGCGCTGGCTGTGCCCTTCCAGCCAGAGCGCCTGCTGCCCCTGGCCACCCACGGGCGCCTGCAACACCCCGCGCCTGAACGCGCATGGGGCGTAGGTCTGGTGCGCTGGGCCGTGGCATCCGTGATGCCCTCACACGTACACTGGCAGGGCCAGCGCCTCCCCCGCACCATAGACCTCGCCTTGAGAGGCGAAAGGCCGTGGGCCCTCAGCGGCCTTACTGCCTGCATCGTTGCGCATGAGCCATCTGGAGAGCCGAGATACTATTTTTAAAACTGTTTTTATTCATTTTAGAGAGAGACATCAATTGGAAAGAGAAACATCCATCAGCTGCCTCCTGCATGCACCCCAACTGGGGACGGAATCTGAAACCTGGGCATGTGCCCTGACGAATCAAACCAGCAATCTTTTGGTACTCGGGACAAGGATCCACCAACTGAGCCACACCAGCCACAACAGTGGTATGGACACCAATCTACTTCCTGATTTACCTAGTCTGAATATTTCACATCAGCGGGATCATACAATATATGACTTGGTGTGTCTGATTTTTTAAACTTAGCACCATGTTTTTGAGGTTCATATAGTGATTTTAGCAGCAATCACCGCCACCACCACCACCACAATGATGAGGATTAGAATGATTGAACAGCAGCAAATTCTGAAATTGCAGTGCCTGCGATTCTGGGCGATGTGGGAATGCAAATCCTCCCTTGGGGCTGAGACCTCGACTATACTCTCTTCCTGGTAGTTGGTGCTTGCTCTGGGACTCTTAGCCCGTGGGGGCTCAGGAAACCAGGGGTTGTCCACTACCTCTCCTTTCTTCACCTCGGTGTCCCCTGTCACTGCATCCGCATAGGTGCTACTCCTTGTGAAAGAAGGTTTATAGATGGGAACCCCAAAGGTAGGTGTGCTTATTGTGAAAAGTGAAGGGGACGTTGGTGATGGTTTGTCTAGATCTAACTCACACTGAGCACAAAAGCCCTGGAGACACGCCTCACAATTGTTAGTGTCATGTGGCCCTTTAAGAGAGATATCCTTGATTGTAGGAATCTCCTCCATTGACTTAAATCCTTCTCCGTAGCATTTCTTCAGAATCCGGAACACCAGATTATTCAGGATCCTTGAGACGTTCTCCTCCGTGAATTCTGGAACCTCAAAAGGAGGGTCCGAGCACTTCCGACATCTCTGGGCGAAGACCCTCATCTTCACCTGGCCCGTGGAGTCCCTCTTACTCCAGTGCATGTGGCAAAGGACTTGAACGTGGGCAGAGGCCCAACTGCGAGAGCACCAGGAGCACGTGAACCTGTGGAGGCAGAAAACGAGACCCTCAGCTTGACCGAACCGGGGGCTGTGCCAGAGGGAAGCAGGAGGGACCACCGTTACAGAGACACAGTAGATTGGGTCCTGGATCAGTGGGGGATGAAGTGACCAAGTCCCTTGTTTCTATCTCCATTGTGCGCTGACAAGCTCATGACTCACAGGTGTCTATCATTATGACAGCGGGTCACGTGCTCTAAGAGCCGAAGGGATCTCGGGCACCTTTTAAGTCCCAGAAGATCATGTCAGAGGTGAGCACACACCGGGAACTTGTCAGGCCCAGGGACTCTGTGGGTGTAAGAGACAGGACAAGCACCTCAGTTTCCTGACTCCAAACCAAGGCTTCTCCAAATGTAGATTGAAGTGGGACAACAACTACAAGTGAAACAGCTGCCATTCAATCAGCCCCGACCCACAAGTGGATCCAGGTGGGTGTTGGTAAGTGCTACAGTCTGAAAGCTTGTGTCCTCCTCAGATTCACAGGAAACCCTAAAGCCCAAGGTGATGGTGTTAGAAGGCGGGGTTTTTGGGGGGTGATTAGGTCAGGAGGGTGCAGCCCTGGTGAAAGGCTAAGAGGCCTATGCAAGAGGCCCACAGCGCCCCCTAGCTCCTTCAGCCGTGTGAGGATACCACAGGAAGTCTGCGACCCAGAGGAGGGCCCTCACCTGACCAGCGGGTGCCCTGGTCTTGGTCTTCCAACCTCCAGAACTGTGAGCAACACGTTTCTGTTGTTCATGAGCCGCCCAGTCTGTTTTTGTTGTTGTTGTGATGGCTGTTTTTTAATAGCAGCCCCAAAGGACCCAGATCCTGTCATGGACCCCATGTTAGGGAGGGACCCTAAACAGCGCAGTGTCCTAGGGAAAAGCATTGCTTTGCTCCCAGTTGCCCAGGGCCTCCCAGTCTGCCATTAGTACTGGGCGGGTGCCGTGTCCGCTCTCTTCATTGCCCCAATCCATTGCTCAAAGTAGCCTGAAACACTTCAGATTCCTCGTGCCCCTGGCCTCAGAGAGGGTACCAGAGAATGACCCTTCCTCTCAGCAGGGAGGAGGGCAATTTTCTGACCTAAGATAGCTGCACAAATACATGTTGGCAGAAATGGAGAGAGAGAAGGCAGGGAAGCACATGGCAGCACCCAGGATAGGAATTACGGGGGAGCAGAGGGCTGAGCACATGAAGTGCTCACCAAATTACCCACGCACTCCTCCCCACCCCCACCTCCCACCTTGTTCCAGCCCCTCTGGGCAGTTAAGTTGGGGCAAGATGACCAGTTGGCTGATGGGATGTCGGCTGAAGTGATGGATGCTGCTTCCAGGTCTGGCACTGAAGCCCTTGACTTTCCAGCTCTTTCCTTCTGTTTCATGGTGAGCTTGGGGCCATGTGTTAGGTTATTTGTTACAACAGCCAAGCCTGGCCTTGCTGGGCATGATGCAGGAGCACCTAGAGTCTGGACGGTGGATCAGAGGGTGCTGGGAAGGAGTCAATCAAGGTTTTCCTTTTGTATCTTTCTTTTTAAATTTAGTTTATTTCTGTTGTTAATCCTCTCCCGAGGGTATTTTTCCAGAGAGTTTTAGAAAGAATGGAAGGGGAAAGAGAGAGAGAAACATCAACGTGAGAGAGACATATTTATTGGTTGCTTCCTTCATGTGCCCCAACCAGGGCTGGGGGTCGAGCCTGCAAGGGAGGTACGTGCCCTTGACTGGAATCAAGCCTGGGACCCTTCAGTCCACAGGCTGATGTTCTATCCACTGAGCCCAAGTGCCCAGGGCTTCCTCTGTATCTTGATTCTAGCCTCACCTCACTGGGTGAAGATGAGGATGAAATGCAGGGAAGATGCCCAGGAGCCCTGACCACTGTGAGCAAGATGACCTGCTGGTGCAAAGGTCCTGGGCCCTGCTCTTCTGAGCTGCAGTTCCTGCCACCATCCTGGGTCACTGCTGCTCTGTTGGTGACAGCTCAGAGTTTAATAAAAAAAAAAGGAGCTGACACTTTGCTCAGCTGCTCTTGGTGCCAGCTTCCGACCTGGGAAAACCACAGGTTATGGAGAGGAGAGCTCAGTTTCCCCTTCCCAGACCTTCCAGGGAGGGGGCAGTGGGCAGGCAACATGCCCCTTCCCCAGTCCCAGGAACCATCCTCCGTGCAGGTGGACCCCATCCTTGGGCTCTGATTTCCCACCTGGAAAGCAGAGGCTTAGCCTTTGGATGCCTCTAAGGGTCCTATTTTTACAAAGATTCCATCAGCTCCTTGTAGAGAGGTCAAGATGGTTGCATGTGGCTCTGCCCCTCCATGAGGGGTTCTCCTCAGTGCCCAGGGAGGGCCCCTCTTTTGGGTTCTGTAGTGGGTCCCCTGACCCCCGCCCCTTTGCATTTGCAGCAAGCCTTGCTCATTCAGCTCTCCTGGGCCTCGCTGCTCTTGCCCTCACCTTCGCAGCCTGATTTCTCCATATTTGGGCATCACCCCACACCAGTGCCCACTGCCCCTGCTACTGTTTTGGGGTTCATTGTAATAAGAAAACAATCTTTAATGAAGCTACAATGTCTTGATTGATGGGCTCCTTCCTTTCTCTAATCTTCAGTTTACTAGTACAGCAGGAATGGAATCAGAAAGGTAACCAGTATAGAGAGTAAGGAATAGGAAGAATATTCTGGAATACATCCCACCCCATTCCCCACTCACCTGGCAAAGACCCACTGCTGGTATTGTGCCCACCCTGGTTGCAGGGTGTTGGGAATGAGGCTGTTGTCTAGTGTCAGGGTCCATTGGTGCCATGGTTTCACCTCGTGAATTAATTCCTGAAACACTTTCTGCCACACCTTCACATCCTGACTCTTGGCTGCTGGCATGGTGAGCTGGGGGCACCAGTCTCTCCTGGGCTCTGACGGGTCTCTAGCCAGACGTGTGGTTTCCACTGTAGAGAGCACGGGCTCACATCCGCTCCCCTCTATGGCCCTGCACTGGGCCTACAGACCTGCTCTTTGCCCCAAGGACAAAGGTCAGTTGAGTCAGGCTGCACAGGGAATTTCGAAAGACATGGAATGCATGGTTTCATTCACCAAGAGCCCACCCCAGGAGCTCTTGGGGCCCCATGTCAGGAGGGTAGATCTCAGTCTGGCTCTGTTGTTACCTCCCCTCAGCCTTTCTCTCTGGCAGCCTTTTTCAGATCTTGTCGGGACCCCCCTGGATCCTGGAATCAGGGGTTTCTATACTTACATACATGCTGGCTTCCAGCCTCCTACCTGGCAAGGCTGCCACTCCCTTCCTCAGGGCCAGTGGCTGTGACTCACCTTCTTCCCTGTCCAGCCCAGAGGCCATTTTCCTTGGAACAGGGCCAGGGACTCACTGTCACTCCTTCCGAGCATGGGCTACGCCCTGGGAGGTGGCTGACGGTGTCACCTGACACGTGGCCCTGTTGACACTGAGCAGGGCAGCTCCTGCCTTCTTGTTTCAGCTTAGACTCTGAGCAGCAGGCTGTTTCGAAAACTTTTACTATTATATTAGTTCTATTAATTTTATTAGCATTTATTCAGAATACCAATGAAGTAAATTTTTATTTCTTACTTAAAACCACATTAGCCTGGCTGGTGTGGCTCAGTGGTTGAGTGTTGAACTGTGAACCAGGAGGTCATGGTTCAATTCCCAGTTAGGGCACATGCCTGGGTTGTGGGCTCAGTCCCCACTGTGGAGTGTGCAGGAGGCAGCCCATTGATGATTCTCTCTCATCATTGATCTCTCTCTCCCTCTCCCTCTTCGTCTCTGAAATAAATAAAAAAATGTTTTTAAAAACACCACGATGAGTCAGAAAGAATGAAAGGGCTGGGATGAGGTCCGGAAACAGGTGCGCCCAGGGTGGCAGGAAGATTCAGCCCGGTTCTTTTTTTAAAAAATGTATTTTATTGATTTTTTACAGAAAGGAAGGGAGAGGGATAGAGAGTTAGAAACATCGATCAGCTGCCTCCTGCACACCCCCCACCGGGGATGTGCTGAAGTGTAGTAGCAGCCATCTCAGTGGAAACTGTAGTTTCACTTTAACCCTGCTGTTTGGCTTAGCAACAGAAAAGTTATTTTGATCTTATAAATCATCCCATTGGACATGGACCGGGGCATAGTGTGCTAGGGGTGTGCTAGGGACATGGGGCTTAATGTGCTGGGGGCAGGGACCGTGGCACAGAAAAATTACTGATTGTTTTAAAGAAACAAAGTGGTGTGATATGCTCCAGCCCGGTGTGACCCCGTTTTCCTTCTGAACTTTTACCTTGCCAGTTAATGCTTTGTAGTTTTTGCAAATAAAAGCTTTGCTGCACTCTCGGTTGGGACTGCAGCTGCGAGGCTCCCTTGTGAGGAGGTACGCACTGTAAGTCGCTGGCCAGCTTAATAAAGGCTCTTAATTTTAAATTCTGAGTCGGTGGTCTATCTCGCTGATTGAACCCATAACAGTGCCTGCAACCAAGGTACATGCCCCTGGTCAGAATCGCACCTGGGACCCTTGAGTCCGCAGGCTGACGTCTATCCACTGAGCCAAACCAATTAGGGCAACAGCTGGGTTCTTGCCCATCCCATGATGTCAGAGCAGACCCCAGTGGTCTCTGTGGTTATGGGTTTGTACATCCATTCATTCACCGTTCACTCACTCCGCTGTGGGCACTGCCCCCTTCACCAGCCCTGGGACAGGATGCAGGAGATCAAGGGCAGATCAGGGCCAGGGAGGGCATTGCAGGAGAGACGACAGCTTGGACTGCGTGTGGCATTACGAGGGCTGCACACCGCCAGTGTGTACAGTACAAGGTCCACAGAACAAAGAAAATGTCCCTCCGCCTCCCTGTGCCTGTGTCCCTCCCAAGAAGACAAAGGGCACTTCTCCAGCTCTGAGGGTCCAGGCTCCGGTCTCACCTTCCCCACAACAGGAGCCAGGCAGACCTGCCCTTTTCTCCAGGAGGGTGTGGCGCCCCCTGGAGGCAACCAGGGCAAGGGGGCCGGGCCTCCACGCCCCTTTAACAAAAGCCTCTCTGTTTGTTGTCTCTTCAGATCTCTCTGGGTGTCACCTCTTGCAACCTCTCTGCAGGGTAATACAGCGACATAGCCACAGTGACACATGCACAGAGGGCCCTGGAAGCTCCTGGGTTCGTGAAAATGGGGACCGCACACATCAGTGGGAGTATCTCAACGGATTGGGATAATGCTCCAGAGAATGGCAGTTGCTCATCTGTTTTTATACATTGTAATCAAAGGAGAGGATGTAGGTGGGTTCCATGAAATCCATTGGTGATAGATGAGAAAGGCGGGAGAAAGCAAAGCGTGGAAAACTCTGGGATTGGATAAAAAGCAAAATGATAGACCCATACTTAGGTGGGTGCAGGATAGTTAACAGTCAACAAGTAACATGATAGCAATAACAATGAAGGAATTTGTGGCCTCTGTCCTGGCACCCAGGCACATTAGGTTGTGCCCCAAGGGGTCCGGAAAAAGGGGAGTTACAAGTTACCCAGACATTTCAAGGATATGTTATCATAGATGCAAAAAGACAGACAGACTCAGTTAAGGTAAAGGTGGACCTTTACTGGGTGGACCATCTGACACTCTTGTAGAGACAGGAAGGAAACTAGAACTCAGATGTTAACTGGGAGCCATAGGGTAGAAGGGGTCAGGGCAGAGTCCACAGAGGCCTTTTCTGGCTTATTGACATACCTGGTATGGTGGTCAAATGCCTCCTCGCCCTCTTATCGTCTCTGACTGGGATTGGTGTTTCTGTTCTCATGTCAAGTTCTGGGAGAGTAGGCAATCCAAGCAATAATAAAATGGTAATGATTATAAAGAGGAAAAAAAAGGATTGATGGAGGCATTGAGGAGCTCCTACTATTCAACTTTGAGTAATTCAAATACCAAAACAACCTGGTTACAATAGATTTAATATATATATTAAATATGTTTCAGAGAGGAAGGGAGAGGAAGAGATAGAAACATCAATGATGAGAGAGAATTATTGATCAGCTGCCTCCTGCACGCCCCACACTGGGGATCCAGGCATGTGCCCTTATCTGGAATGGAACTGTGACCTCCTGGTTCATAGGTCGACGCCCAACCCTTAGGGGCACAAATAGAATGCTGGGGACTAATTATTATTTATAAGAAATAAAATAAGAAATATCAATCATGATTTGCTAACCGTGATCATTTTATTCTAATTAAAGAAAGCACATTCTAGCCGAAACTGGTTTGGCTCAGTGGATAGAGCGTCGGCTTGCGGACTGAAAGGTCCCAGGTTCGATTCCGGTCAAGGGAATGTACCTGGGTTGCGGGCATATCCCCAGTGGGAGATGTGCAGGAGGCAGCTGATCGATGTTTCTAACTCTCTATCTCTCTCCCTTCCTCTCTGTAAAAAATCAATAAAATATATTTAAAAAAAAAAAAAAAAGAAAGCACATTCTAACCCTGTTGGAAGTTGTATGCCCCTTGCCCCCCGCCACACACACACACACACCTGGGGGGTCCACCTTGGACTTGGGAGTCAGTTTTGGAATGCAGTCCATCCCCATTCAAGAACTGCCTATCACCATGGAAAGATGAACAACCTTGTTGCCTAATGGTGTCCCACACCAGGCCCCCCTCCCTCTTGGCTACTTCCCGATGCCTGTGATTCCTGCTTCCCCATGTAATCTTTGTCCTCCTCCATATAAGCAGACAGAGAATCTTAAAAGCAGAAAGAGAAAAACAGTTAGTTACTTACAAGGGAGTACCCATATGACTATCAGCTGATTTCTCAACAGAAACCATGCAGGCCAGAAGGGAGTGTCAAGAAATATTCAAAGTGATGAATAGCAAGAACCTACAAGCAAGATTGCTCTACCCAGCAAAGCTGTCATGTAGAATTGAAGGTCAGATAAAGAGCTTCACAGACAAGAAAAAGCTAAAGGAGTTCATCACCACCAAACCAGGATTATATGAAATGCTGAAGGGTATTCTTTAAGAAGAGGAAGAAGAAAAAGGTAAAGATAAAAATTATGAACAACAAATATATATCTATCAAGAAGTGAATCTAAAAATTAAGTGAATAAAAAAATGCGATGAACAGAATAAACTGGTGAATATAATAGAAGCAGGGGCATGGAAAGGGAGTGGACTGACAATTCTCAGGGGGAAGGGGGTGTGAAGAGATGGGACAAGAATCTCACACCTATGGACGAGGACAGTGGCGGAGGGGTAAGGGCATGGGGTGGGGTGGCAACCAGGTGGAGGGGAGCTATGGGAGGAAAAAAGAGGAACTTCTGTAATAATCTGAACAAGAAAGATTTATTTTTTAAAAATATGAAAAGACATATTCAGGAAAAAAGGTGAATTACTCTTGAATTATGCATATGGTCTGTAAATATATGGTATTTGTATGAGACATATACATTTTTGTATTATGTGCTCCATATGGCATTATAAGAATGTAATATTTTATTGGCCTAAAAAATGAAATAGATGTAAATCAAACAAAATCTTGTAGCCTGTACAAATATTTAATACAGTATTTTAATGTTAATTGATATCTTACCCAGTTTTTACAAAATTTATGTCATAATAGTTAATTAATGTTACTTCACAATCTTTCCAAAGTTTAAATTTTAAGAAACATTATAATTGCCCAAAACATGACTACTTTATTCCAATGGGCCCTGAAATACCTCAAAAATTTAATCTCTATCTTTATGAAAAAAGTTTTAAAAGTCATTAGGACTAGTCCTGGTTGGTTTGGCACAGTGGATAGAGCTTTGGCCAGCCGAATGAAGGGTCCCAAGTTCGATTCTGGTCAAAGGCATATACCTGGGTTGCAGGCTCAATTCCAGTCAAAGGCATATACCTGGGTTGCAGGCTCGATCCCCAGCCCTGGTTAGGGAGCATGCAGGAGGCAACCAATCAATGTGTCTCTCTCACATTGATGTTTCTCTCTTTCTTTGAAACATCAATGTTCCCCTTCTGCTCTGAAAAATAATGAAAAAATATCCTCAAGTGAGGATTAACAACAAAAACGAAGTAATTAAACCTTTTTAACATACCTGAAATCTACATATATAAAAGGCTAAGTGACCATCCCACCACCTGACTGGTAGCTATGACACGCAATGACGACCAGGGGACAGACGCTCCGACCAGTAGCTATGACATGCAATGACAACCAGGGGGCAGATGCTCAATGCAGGAGCTGCCAAGCTGCGGTGACTTGGCAGCAGCGGTTCTGTGATACACCCCAGAACCAGAGAGGAGGGAGCCGGATTCCAGGGTGCATCACCTGAGAACGGCCCTCTCGCAATCCACGACCCCTTGGGGGATGTTGGAGAGCCAATTTCAGCCTGATCCCTGCAGGCCAGGCTGAGGGACCCCACCTGCCAGAGGGACCCTGCTCACTCTGCAGATGCCCTTTGAGCCGAGGTGCCACACTAGGTGCGGCCAGCTGGGGAGGGACCACGGGAGTTTGGCTCCAGGGGGTGTCTAGCCCATCTCGCCCAATCCTGCCCTGTGGTCACCTTCTAATTAATTTCCTTTCAATGCTTTGGGCATGAGTTACATAATAAAGCAATAATAATATTAATGACAAAAATACTAATGTCTGTGTTCTATTCGTATACATTTATTTATATTAAAATGGATGTTGTAAAAATTTCAACCTGCACTAAGAAAACAAATTGCAAAATATTCAAAGGCAAATTAAAACAGGGAACTCCCAATGGTAGCACGTGTCCTGTCAGTACATTAAGCAGCCAGGAGTAATGGTTCCCTGTGAGGCTTTTTGGCAGTAATACTCCTGGTCTCTGTGGTCCACACATTGGAAGGTTATGAATGGTTTCTAATGCTCAATATGCACTTTTGATAATCCACTGTCAATGTTTTAAAACATATATATTAATGGAAGTTATATATTCAAGCTGAAAAAATGGACTTTATATTATTGTCTATGTCATTGTACAATAATCATTAAAAAGCAAAGTTCTTATCAATTACTTCATTAACAAATTTATAACCATGCTATAAATTTTGTTTGGCATTTATAGAATCATTGTTTCAAATAAATTACATCCTATATAATAAAAGGCTAATATGAAAATTGACGGAATGATGGAATGACTGGTTGCTATGATGGCACTGACCACCAGAGGGCAGACACTTATGTAGGGTGGGGTCCCCTTTCTCCACGTCCCTCATAGAGAGAGAGAGACGTGAACTGGTTCTGTTAAGTAGAGGTGCTCAGAATTTGAGAAATGAAAGAGACAGGACATAAAAATAGAATAAGCTGGGACTGGATGTGGCATCTGCCCTCTGATCAAGGGACAGACAGACAGACAGACATGCAGCACCGACAGTAAATTTTATATAATATATATATATATATATATATATATATATATATATATATATTCAAAGTAACAGGAAGTTACATCACATCTGGGTGGGCCTTGAGTTCCTGGGAACATAATAGGATCCACCCCCTTTAGCACCTGGTGGGAAGGCTCAGACTGAGTGGTGTCCTGGCCTCTTGACTAGGACCGCCCCCAGGGCGTGGCTCTGATGCGGGAAGTGCCACGTGCCCTGGAGGAGTGGTGGGCCCAGGTGAGGCCGCTCAGGGCTCAGGCTTGGCTCCCTTTGTTGCTGCGACTGTTATTTCTCAGGCAGCAGCCACAGCCACCCACCCCTCCGTCTGTCCTGTGTCTTGTGTGCTGAGCCTTTTGTGTGTCACATTCCCCAGAGTAAGTGAACGTTCTCCTGAAAATGATGTTTTAGCTGTAAGCACGTGGCCCTGTGACTCGTATTGTGGCTGTGATCCCAGGTCTGGGTTTTTCTAGGGTTTTGCTGTCTATTCCCCAACGTCTCTGAAGACAGTGAAGATGAAAGGGGGAAATTGTATGATATTTTAATCTTGGAAGTTTGCAAAGACTGCAGATTTAGATTCTGGGTGTCAAACTTTTCTTGACCGCTCCAAAGGTGTGAGGAAAGAGGAGCACAGCTTTTGCACGTTGCATGTTGCTATGAAACTGTTCATTAACTTAAGAAGTAACCTTTAGTTCTCCCCCATTTGTTCCTAAGCTATGTCCATGTGGACACCTGGTTTTAGGAAGGGAATGTAGGTCTGAAGGCTGCCAACGGGAGCTGTGGAGCACCCCCGCTGTCCATGTGCTACTAGTTGTTTTTTTATTTTTAGGAATTGGCTAACCTGCCAAGTGTGCTGCACTTTTTCTAAAGATCACCCCGCTTCACCATGTCCTAAAACGTTTCTATTCCAAACACCTAAGTGCTTTCTGTATTTGTGGCAACGTACCCTTCAAATCACACAGGACGCCTCAAGAAGCTGAATGAAGGAGCCACATTTATTTCAAAGCCTGGAGTATGAGGGGGCAATGCTCTGCAAATCTCGCAGTGCCCTCTTGGCCAAAACATCAGGCTGATATGGGCAAATATCAGAGAGGTATTGATGACATCTCGAGGTTTGGAATGAGGAACCGGTTTTGCAAAAAGCAGTTTGTTACAGAAGCTTAGATTGAGTAAGTTAGTTAGAAAGAGTAATTACAGTTTTGTGTCTTGGGACCACTGAGTCAACAGAAACACATTATCTGGATCCACTGAGTAATTGTGCTGTCCTGTTGTCCAGGTGCAGAGGAATGTGTTTTAAAGACCAGTGAGGTGACTATCAATGTGGGCATTCAAACCACAATCAATGGAGCATTGAATCGAATGGGGTAACTTATATAAGTTCAGGAAATCAAAGTAACTTTTCTATTATTTTAGCAAGCAAATAATTACAAATCAGCAGGGTTAAAATACTAAACAGCCATTTTTAGCCAAGCATGGTTGCTACCATGCTTCCCGTTCATTGTCATGTAACTTAATGGAGCAGCATGGAAGTTTCAGTGAATGATCTGAAATCATGTTTTCTGAAAGAGGTGGTTTTGGGACCCGGAGAAACAGTAGGTGACAGGTATATGGCAGCCAGTGTGAGTTTTTCCCAACTGGAGAGGCGGGGTGGGCACTCCTGAGCCTTTGCCGTGGGACGACTTGTCAGGAGCGTGTGGTGCAGGCTGAAGAGCAGCCTTGTGGAGCGCAGCAGGTCCCTGTGAGTGTCCCTAGCGGCGCAGTCCCCTTCCAGTCTCTGTGGAAGGAGAGCCAAGGCGCTGTGGCTCGTTGTCCCGGAAATGAATGCTGAAGGTAGGAACCAGGCATGTGCCCGTCCCGGCATGGTCACTGGTTAGAGTGTCTGGCTGCCTCTGGAAGGTTCCCGCGGGTGATTGGCAGCGAAGGGCCTGTTTGTGGGATTGGGGTTTGCTCCCCTGTGAGTGCAGGAGGCAGCCATCCTGGACGTCTCTCCGTGCGGTGGATGTTTCTATGTGCGTTTTGTGTGTTTCATCTCTCCCACGATTTCTGAAAGATCAAAGAAAAAAATGTCCTTGTGTGAGGATTAACCCCCTCCCCAAAGAAAAGGGGGTCCGTGCGTGGATTATATAATTTCTAGAAAGAAGGCCCCGAGAGTTGTTGTTGAAAAGAAAAAATCCTGTCCATGTTGTAGCCAGGGTCTGTTCCATTCCAGGAAGGGACCCAAAGCTTAGGAGTCCCCTCTGTGCTTACTTGTGGCATTGCGCATGGACGGGCCTATTTTGATAGGAGCCATTTTGTGCTCCACAATTTCCCAGAGTTTTTATTGTCTTTCGAGTGAGAAGAGAGCAGGTTGGAGGAGCCAAGAGGAAAGGACGCTGCGTGTGAGAGCATTGGTGCGGCGAAGCGATCCTCTGCTGCCCTCTTGTGGCCATTGCAGGAAAACACACTGTGCTTCTGCTTTTGGCACTGAAATGTCAGGTCCCAGCCAATGTCTCCCGAAAAAAGGCAAAAAAGAAATGGCAGAAAATCTTGGAGGCTGTCCAGGGCGGCCGTGATTCCGTGGCTGAATGGAGTGAAGTGACAGGTGTCGATTTGTGAGCTGTTTCTGCCCAGGCCTGCAGAGGGAGGCGTTAGAGCTGCAGTGGCCTGGTGAGCCGGTGCGTTTGAGGATGTGAGCTCCTCCTCCCCTGTAGGTGGGCATTGTTGAGTCATTTCCCAGTAGGCCACGATTGTGGAGCCTCCAGTCCGTCCTTGGAGTCTTTGGGGTCTGGCGAGAACATGTTATTCCCGCCATGGTCATCGAGAGGCGTCCATGGTTGATGGAGGCCGGTGTGATTGAGGCAGCCATGTCCTAGGGGATGGCCGTGATCGAAGGAGCAGGCAGGCCGCCTGGAGGCCGCCATTGTTTCCGCAGTTAGGTATTTAGTACCGGGGAGGCAAGGCTGTCCATGTTGAGTCCGTCCACACCGTGGAGACCGCCACTTTCCGGGCAGTCAGTACCGGGGAGGCTGATATTGTTTCCGGTGGAGCTAGACGCAGTCAGTTTTTGTAATGGGAACGTGTTAGTACCAGGAGAAAAAGATTGTGTTGAATGGCTTGTTGCAGAAACAATGCTTTTATTTTGGTAGGAAGTTATTTTTATTATTTTAGAAAGGAAGAGAGGGAGGGAGGGAGGGAGGGAGGGAGGGAGGGAGGGAGAAATATCCGTGCTGAGAGAGAATCCTTGATGATAGAGAATTCCCTGAAGTCACTGTTCTGGCTGTGGGCTGTGTACCCCCTGCAGCGCTGCGAAGGGGCGTCCTGGAGACGGGTGCACTGAGGTTCCCTGTGAGGCGACTCTCTGACCATGTCCAAGCTGCTGATTTTGTGCCCTTTTGAAAGAAAGCAGAGAGTGTTGGTTAGCTGTTGGAGAGAGCCGTCGTGGACTGGTGGAGGTGGTTGTGAGTTGTGACAGCCCTGTGTCGGGTGCTGTGCAGGCGTGTGAGGCTCCCCCGGACAGTGTGTGTTGTGTGGTTTGGGTTCCTTCCCACTGTTTGTGGTGCAGGCTGCCATGGAAATGTTTGTTGCTTCTTTTTTTCAGGCCAAGTCATTTATGGAAGGTGGAAGTCCCCGTTTGGCCATCCATGCGAGGTTGTTGTTCTTTGGAGCTTCCCTGTGCGGTGACTCAGTGTGTCCTTGGGTGGATGTCTTTATGCTGTGAACAGGTAAGAAGGTGTTATGCTTCAGAACGCCGAGAGTCGGTTCAAGTGACATGAGGTGCAGAGAGCAGGAGCGTTTGGTTAGATGGCAATGTACTTTGTAGAAGAGTTGAGCGTCATGCTATGTTTTTTTAAAATATATTTTTATTGATTTTTACAGAGAGGAAGGGAAAGGGACAGAGAGTTAGAAACATCGATGAGAGAGAAACATCGATCAGCTGCCTCCTGCACACCCCTTTCTGGGGATGTGCCCGCAACCAAGGTACATGCCCTTGACCGGAATCGAACCTGGGACCCTTCAGTCCACAGGCTGACGCTCTAGCCACTGAGCCAAACCAGTTAGGGCGAGCGTCATGCTATGTGTGGAAGGATTTTACCAAACGAGCAACGGAAAGAGTGAAAGGTGAGCCCATGACGATGTGTTTTGTCTTTTTCTGAGAAAGGCTGTATCATGTAGTGTTGTTGAGTGATTCCAATACTGTATACGTGTTTGTTGATGTGCATGTGTCCAATGTCGACCCGCTAAAGCACTGCCCTTCCCTTTTTGTTGGTGAAAAGGAAGAGGTAGGTGTTCATGTTGGATGGCCCAGAGCAGGAGGATTAGATGGCGGTTTGTTTAGAGTCTGTGCCGCTCGTGCCTTGCGTGCGGTACCGAATCGGATCCTGTGTGTGGAGTGTTGTAGGGGATGGAGAGGGTGGGGCACGGAGGACCCTGTCGTCCCCCCAAGTTTTGCCATATGCAGTGAAAGTCGGGAATCCTGGAAGTTGGCTTTGTGTTTGTTGAGTTGGGACAGCTAGATAGGATTCGTGTGTGTGTGTGTGTGTGTGTGTGTGTGTGTGTGATGTTTCATGTGTTGGCAAGCAATTTAGTATTTGTAGAGAAGAACGGAATGTTATGCTTGGATCCGTTAGGTTCCTCTGTGTTGAGCTGGTTCATGAGGAAGATGGTGTCCTTTTTGATCTTTGATGAGTGTGGTCCAGCCTAAGAGTGTGCCGTCCACCTCCTGGATGAGAGTGGGTTCCTTCACTGCTGGAAGCTCCTGCGTTCATGTCTGTTAGCCATAGGCGGTGTTTTCTGTCCTTTGTTGCCTGGGTCGTGACAGAGCAAAGCAGTTATCTGTTATATGTAGTATGCATTTGTATTGTACATACATTTTATTTTAGAAAATGATATTTCTGCTATAAAGTTGGCTTCCTAAGTGTAATTAAATGATCATGTAAAAAACTTCATAAGTGTGAATGTTTTACTTGGCAAATGTTTGGAAACTTGGTAAGTATTACTGTGTATCGCTTGCCAATGAACTGTTGGGGGTCATGTGTTGTCACCAAAGCAGAATCTGTGCTCAATTACTGGCTCCCTTCTAAGACATAGCCTGCATGGTTTTACCTTAATTCTATGTTATGAACCATTAGGCAGAAGCTAGAAGTTGACTTGTACTGATGCAACACCTCCCCCTTGCTGTCATGATGGAAACAGGCCCGATGCTCAAAGCAACCTTAGAACACCAGCAATGTAAAGCTTGTCATCACCTTAGCATGTAATCTACCCAGCCAGGGCCCATTCTCTTTCTAGTAAACAGGTCATCCAAATAGCAATACACAGCCCAGCGAGTGAGCCTCAACGATTGAGTGTTGACCTATGAACCAAGAAGTCACATTGATTCCTGGTAAGGGTACACACATCACATCACCTGATTGATTTTTTGTCTCTCGCATCAATGTTTCTCTTTGTCTCCCTGTCCCTCTCTGTCTCAGATCGCTAACAACAGATCTGCTTATATAAAAACCATGGGTGGTGTTCATCATGACCACAACTTCTGCGACCAAGCAGAAGGAAGTCAGTCCTGCAGGGGTTGTCTTGGCAACCGCTGTACCCTCCCCCAAGCTGTTTCCCAGAGCTGTTTCCTGTGAGGGCAGGGTTTGAGGCAGGAACCCACCCTGGGAGCGTGGAGGCATATCTTTCGAAAGTGTGCCGTGCCAGCACGGCCTGGGGTGAACTTGAGTGGGGGCGGCTGAAAGACTTAGAAAAGACAGACAAGAGAATGAAAGCTGGGTCTCAGTGGGACGCTGCTTCCCTGAGAGACAGCGACCACGGCCACAGCCATGCCTTTATTTTATACCAGATGCTACGAGGCAAAGTAAGGGCGTGACCAAGATGTTTACAACATTCTCCTGGGTTTCAATCCTACTCAACTACATGCACCTGAACTCTATCAAGCCTACATCACTCAGGCACTGGGGACACGTGTTCAGACCATAGGTTCGAGCTTACAACTACAGCTGTTGGCTATAATTGTGCTGGGAGGGCCCTGCCCTCCAAGCTGAGACTTGCATGTGGCAACGAGAAGACTGTGTCCTCTCATCAGTCCAAGGCTTGAACCTGTCCAAAACACTGTAGTGGCTCCCCACAATAAAGTCTTAATTGTTTCTTTGTTACTAATGTTGTGGCCCCACCTCATAACAAAGAAACAATTTCTGGAGGATGAGGCCCAGAAATCAGGATTTTAAAAAGATTCCCAGGTGATTCTAATATGCAGACAAGGTTGAGAACCACTGCTATAGATAATATTAAAAATATATCTAAACGTGCAATTCTTTGTACAAAAAATGAGCATGTTTAAAAATTAAATGAAGAAAATTTGGATATACTCGATGGAGATTTTCACACATATTTGAGTGATGATTCCATTGATTCCACAGAGGATGCTGAAAAGGAAAATTTTCCCATTGAATTTCTTAATAGTATTACTCCTTCGGGAATGCCATGTCATAAATTAAAATTGAAAGTGGGTGAAATCATCATGCTATTGAGAAATCTCAATAGTAAATGGGGTCTTTGTAATGGCACCAGATTTATTATCAAAAGATTATGACCTAACATTATCAAAGCTGAAGTATTAACAGATCTGTAGAGGGAGAGGCTGTTGTGATTCCAAGAATTAATTTGTCCCCATCTGTCACTGGCCTCCCATTTAAATTGATTCAAGGACGGTTTCCCATGATGCCAGCATTTGTGATGACTATTAATAAATCACAAGGACAAACTCTAGACAAAGTAAGCATATTCCTACCTGAACCCGTTTTCGCACATGGTCAGTTATATGTTGCTTTCTCTCGAGTTTAAAGAGCATGTGATGTTACAGTTAAAGTTGTAAGTACTTCATCACAAGGGAAATTAGTCAAGCACTCTGAAAATGCTTTCACTCTTAATGTGGTGTACAGGGAGATATTAGAATAAGTTTAATCACTTTAACAGTCATTGTTTGCATCACTGTTGTTTTTCTATCATGTTTTTGTTGTTTTCATATCATGTTTTTGTTTTTATACCATGTTTTTGTCGTTTTTATATCATGCCTGTGTTGTTGCTATCTCCTTTTGTTACTGTTTATTTATTAATAAATTTATATATGATTTTCATATACATTTTACTAATTTCCTTTCATCTCTCACACTTCTATTATAGAGAAAGGGAAAATAGCAATATTAAAATATCTCTGCTAATTAATTCCCTTTATTAAAAAAATGTATTTTATTGACTTTTTATGGAGAGGAAAGGAGAGGGACAGAGAGCCAGAAACATCGATGAGAAACATCGATGAGCTGCCTCCTGCACACTTCCCACTGGGGATGTGTCCACAACCAAGGTACATGCCCTTGACTGGAACCGAACCTGGGACCCTTGAGTCTGCAGGCTGACGTTCTATCCACTGAGCAAAACCGGTTAGGACAATTAATTTCATTTTAATGTGCACGAATTTTGTGCACTGGGCTACTAGTTATATAAATAAAAACCATTTGAGAAATTCACAGCCCTTTTTTTAAAAAATATTTTTATTGATTTGAGAGAGGAAGGAAGAGGGAGAGAGAGATAGAAACATCCATGATGAGAGAGAATCATGGATCGGCTGCCTCCTGCATGCCCCCTACTGGGGATTGAGCCCACAACCCAGGCATGTGCCCTTGACTAGAATCAAACCCTGGACCCTTCAGTGTACAGGTACATTTGCTTTGCAAAAGGTGAATTTGCTTAGCAAAAGATAAATTTTGTTTTGAAATGGTGAATTTGAAGTGGAAAAGTTGAATTTGCTTTGCAAAAGATGAATTTTCCCCTAACTGATTTGGCTCAGTGAATAGAGCATCCGACTGCATACTGAAGTGTCCCAGGTTTGATTTTGGGCAAGGGCACATGCCTGGGTTGCAGGCTTGATCCTCAGTTGTGGGCTTGCAGGAGGCAGCCAATCCATGATTCTCTATCTCTCTCTCCCTCTCCGAAATCAATAAAATTTTTTAAAAAAATACTTAAAAAAAGATGATTTTGCTTTGCAAGAGGTGAATTTTGTTTGATTGTATTTCAGCAGCATGAAAATGAGTCACCCCTTCCAGGATCTTAGTAAATTTCAATAGTGCTTCATATTTTTTCAAGTTACTTCTGTGACATTAGGTTATTATTACTAAGTACTTTTTTCTCCTAGTACATTAGTTGTAAACACATTTTTTGGGGGGGGAACATAAGATTCTAGTTAACAGTTTGGTGTTGAAACACAGTAGTTTCAAAACGTGTTCTTGTAACTCAAAGGGTTCTGCTTGGTCCCTGTGTCGGTCTCTTTCAGAATGAAAGATAAAAGAAACTGTAGAAATGTGCCAAGACCAAGCAGCCTGCTGTCAGTCAATTCCTGCTCAAAAATAATCCTCTGCTGCCCTCCTGTGGCCATTTAAAGAATAATACGTTGTGCCTCTGGCCATGGTCCTGAAATTCCAGCTAAGGCCCTGTGAACACAACCAAAAATTCTACCCACAAAAGAAAAACAAAAAACAAACAAACAAAAAAACCAACCCACAAAATCACCGAGGCTGTCCATGGCGGCAGTCATCCCGTCCCTGGATGGACCGAAGTCACGGCTCCTGGGTCTGCACCTCTTCCCACCCCAGCTTTGCAAAGGGAGGCCCTGGAGACTGCTGCACTGAGGTTCCCTTTAAGGTGACCTACCACCCTGCCAATATGTTCC